GTTAGAGGTCTTCGAAAGCTCTTTTGAGTCACACGTGAAACCGTTTCGGCGCGAGTAATTTTGACCATGCACTCGCGACTCGGCTATACAAATCCTAACCGATCAGTCGTTCCGTTTTCTGATTGATGTGGTCAGGCGAACTCTGATTTGAAATTTTAAGATGTATAAAGTTCTAACGATTCTTCTAAATGGCGAAAAAGAGCAACAACATGACGTGTTTTCCTCTAAATCCCCGATATTGAACATTTGCGTGGTACCTATCGGATTAACCCAAGGACAATAATTATTGGACAGGGCAGTGATTGTAAAATCGCAAAATTTGGCGTTTCTGGTTTTTTTCTCAACCTTAAAAAATCATTTGAAAAGATGATCTCTTCGTAAAGCCCTGCTGAAAAATGTTGGGCCTTTGTTCAAGAAAAAATGTTTTGATTTCTTAAAGACAAAAGTTTGCTTTTACCAGGGAGGCATTTTTTTCAAATTTGTTCCTCTCCCTTTATGGTTTCTTTAAGTTATAGCGACATTCTACGTTTTCCAAAGAGGTTAGCATAATTAAGTGCATAATTTTTGTTGTTTTAAGCCTATTTGTTAATTCTGTTATTTGAAAATCTCTTAGTTTGTTTAATTTTCAGTCATTAGACTAATAAACCATAAGCAATAGGTTTTTAGTGTTTGAGATAGTGGGAAGGAAAGTATTTGAAGTCAACAAAGGTGATTGTCAAAATTGTGATTCTTAACTTAGCTATCTGTCAGAAAAATTGGAATAGCTTTGTAACTGACATTAGTAAACAGTTCTTCATGTTTCAGGCTTCCATTGAAGAAGGGGGTTTATAGATCTTCCAGATTGCATGCTATGAAGCATGTAGAAGCTTGCCTATTTTTTGACAAGTTTGTTTATGTCTTTGTGCACAAAGAGACAACCTTTGGGTGTGTTCCTTTGGGAAGATCTAGATCAGGAACAGTGATCCGAGGTCATTCAGACAGTGGTACATCAAATGAACCAATGAATCCTTGCTCGGGATGGATTCATCAGTTCTGAGTGATTGTGGACCACTGATTCTGATATCCCAAAAGAACACTCTCCTTGTCTTTTGTTTGGTTTATTTTCCTTTGTTTCTTATTATGAACACTTAGAAATACTGATTAAACAAAAACGGGAAGAAACAGCACATGTTTAAATGTCTATGAGCAAAAGATGTTTTATTACAAAATGTACAAAAAGCACATGTCTTCGCTGGATGGGGGGTTTAGCTTGTGTTTTATGGGAAATCCTTTCATATAACCTGAAGGTGGTGTATGATAAGTAATTTGTTTGTCGTTACCACCAAAGTTTGGACTCAGGGGTAGGTGAAAAAAACCCCCAGCTCCTTGTAGAAACTTCAAAACTCCAAGACAAAATTTTCTTTGTATTTGCTTGTCTTTCATGGCTTTATCATTGCTCTTACCCTGCGAATACAGCCGTTTCTCTTTGCTCCTCACCATTCCCCCTGGCGAAATGTCCCTAGTGGCAAGGAGCAAGGAGAAATGGCTGTATCTGCAGGCTACATTGCTCTTTGCATAGTGTTATAAATTCATTGCATTCAAAGTAAAGCTAAACACTTCGAGGTGCGGAATGTCCAAGGGTGAAAACTTTGAGACTTAATTGAGTTGCTTTTTAACAAGTGTAAAGCAGTAGTTTTGCTTATGCCAGCCTAACATAATCTTGGTAGAGCAAAAGGATCAATAAGTTTAGCCTGGCTACTTGGAAAGGTACCAAAGGGTGTATGCTTAGCTAAAGCTGTAAGACTATGTGCTGTTTACTACTTTGACTCACTGAATGATCCAGGATGTTCATTACCCAGTGTGTACAGCTTCAAATTTAACAGAAACAAAAACAAAGAAAATTTAAGGAAGTACCATACAAAAGTTCTGCCAAAGAGTTTTCATTTGAATGTTCACAGCACAGGATTTTATCAACAGACTCAAAACTTATAGGGAAGTTTTATAAATTTGCAGAGAGGGAAAGTTAGTGATGCTTAACATAGTGTCAGCAGCGGGTTGATTTGTCACTCTAAAATCTGTGCATGAAATCCACCAGTGTAACCATTTAAATGAAACCTCATTTGCTAAACTTTTGGCTGGTGTTGTTCATTTCTTTGTACTTCACAGAAAGAAATTTGGAATTTTGTGATTTTTTTTTTACATTGGCTACTATCCATAGTGAAACGGTTTATAAAAGTGTTATGTGCAGTGCTATTAAGAGTTTTATCTTGTTGAGCTCTTTCAGAGGTATTAACTTTATATCTCTTTGTAAACAAGACTGTTTGATTTATTTCAACTATTGAAACTGCCCGATCCATGAGACAATGACAAGTTTTTTTCTCAAGGTGACAGTGTTGTTTAGCATTAGTCAGATAGTTGATACAAAGTTGACCATCAACATTAGAGTTATGAAGATGTTAGGTAAGTGAAACCAAAAAAGTGGTTTGTTGACAGAGTTGTGAATTAAATTGTCCACCGTAAAAAGATTTTACAGTGTGGCTGTAAAACCAAAAAATTCTCAAACTTGCTATAAAGGAAGAAATATCCAAATCTTTCAGAATTCTGAGCATTTGAGTGAAAGAACTGATTCATCATTTTTTTGTAAGGCCTTTCTTGCCAAAAAGATTTTAAGTTTCGTGCATGTTATGACTTGCCATGGTAGTTGTCAACACTAGATTTGAGGTTGAATAGCTTTGCAGTTCGTCTGTTTAGACAGGAAACCAAGTCTGTTTTATGTAGAAAACTGTTTTGTAGTTTTGGTGACAGTGAATCAAAAAATGACCTTTGGTTTACGTTTTCCCAAACATTATCTCTTTGTGATCCACAGAGCGAAACGTAATGAAAATACGCTCGTGAGCAACAAAGATATGATCAATATCTCAAGTAAACTTATTCTATGAATACACACGTGGGAGGTCTGTGCTTTATCTCCGTGTGGGCGGTCGGTGGTACACCGCGATGGCCCTTTAATCTGCCACGTGGCGCTGTGAAAATCTCTTGTATCTCCCCGCTCGGGGGAAGCCAGAATTCCGATCTTTTCCTGTCTAGGAAATCACAGGCGTCTACGATTTAGTTTTGACCTTTTATCTTCTCTATCTGGCTGCATGGATGTTCGACGCACCGGTGCGACATTTAGGGAGCTTTTACGTTGATTCTGTCAAATGAAGCTCTCGGTTTCCTTATGTAAAGTTGAACGCGTTTGTTGGGCTCCGGCTTGTGATTGAGATATCGCTCGTTGCGCCACACATCTTCCATATAACAATACTTAGAAAAATGGATTAAACTGTAGTAATCGCAAGTTCCTGTAAATTGTACATTCCTGCAAATTTTACAGCCCTAGTTGACATACAATATTCAGATGAAGGAAGCATTTCGGAGACTCCACATTTTGTTTTAAAAGGAGTTCTAGCAATCTCGCTCAAATTAGGATTATAACTAAGAAACCTTGTTTTGTCCGTTTCGTTAGAGGGTGACGATTAAATGAATTTCTCGTAGTTTAAAATAAAGAAAGTGTACATATTCAAGTTAGTTTAGATCAAATTTCTTATGACCACCAAAGCGGGGAAGAATAGCGTTTAGTTTGCGTCGGCGAGATAGAAAGGTCAATTTTTTGGGTTCAAGTTTTTGAGATGTTTCACCACGGTGTAGAGTTCTTGTTTTAATAAACGTTGAAAAGCATATCACGAGGTTTTCCTGTTGTTTATTTTAAGTGCAAATCCCTGAAGAACGTGTTGCAATCCAAATTAATACTCAATTTTGTCATACATCGGACTTCCTGTTCTAAAGGAATAGACATATTAAATGTATTCACCCTGGACGTTTATATGCTTTAGTGTAATGACATATCTTGGAAAACATTATTAGCTCTTAATTCTTTATGCAGACTCTTGTATGACAAAATGAAAAGTGAAAGTAAAGTCGATGTTCCGAAGCTAATGGGAAACGTAAAGCCAAATTTTTTCCTATGTATTTTATTTTTGTTCTACACGCTAAACTACAAGAAACGCTCCAAAACTGTCAAAATATACTGCGTAGTTTTTTGGAAAAGATCATTGTTTCATTTCTAAACAACAGCGAGTCATACAACGTGCTCTACTGAACGTGAATTTTCACAAAACGGGCAATATCTTAACGATTCGTGAGCAACGTCGAAACTGAAAAAAAAATCGTTTTCTCTCCGTGATTTCGATCATCTATTCGAAGCTACCGTAACGAAAGCCAAGTAAGAGTCGAGTCGTTGCAAGGTAAAATTTTCACAAAGGGTTTCGTTTACAGATCAACATGTAAAGTGGTTTCACAGCGGCAAAAATGTTACGCTTGCCTGACCCGTAATCTTAACTGTGGCAATGGCACTCGATGCATGAAACATTTTTGCATTCGTATTAAGCCTAGAAGGAATTTCCTTTGTCGTTTGAGAGAAATGTTGGGGAATTTAAGCAACGACGACGGCGACTTCAACGTGTACGCTCAAAAAAGCAAATAGGTTTAGATTGGCAAAACAACAACTTTGCCGTCACTGCAAGACTACGACGTGAAAATGCCTAATTTGACATTTTGCGGAGGACGTGAGCACATTACGATGACTTTCTTTTTCTTTTCCTGAACTTCGATACAGTCTTTTAGAGTTAAACGCCAGAAGTGAACGAGATGGCGCGCGATAAAGTGCGAAGTTGCGCGACTTCACTTTTAAGTGACGTTTTCGTCGTGGTGGCCGTTGTTGTTGCTTAACCGTTTAAGCCCCAGTATCCACATACAAATTCTCCAAACTGATCTCCATACATTTCCTTTAAGAATTAGTTGAGAGAATTTAATAAAACATCAAGGCATTTTCTCTTTCGTGATCATTTTTTATATTCTCACAACCTTATCTCTTGACAATGTATGGACATCGTTAGGAGAAAATTGCTGTTGGTCACTATTGGAACTTAAAGGGTTAAGCGTCCTATTAACGGTGCCATAGTTCCTACGTGAGGTGGTTTTTAATGTCATTATCTTTGTTACAGACTCGATCAGGGAGACAACTAAGCAAGACTGCTGAGCAACAATCAAACGGAAAATTTCAAGCAACAAAGACTCCCAGGAATTCCCGAAAAGCGCGCGGCCAGAATGGCTGGCATGACAGTGTAAAACAAGATGAGTGTGCGGTAAACACAGAGGAGCGCTTCGTGAGTGCAGATTCTACTAACTACGAGGCCGCCAATTTCGGAAGTCTAAAAGAAATCATGGAAGTACAAGAAAGACCAACTGTAGGAAACGCCGGGGAAAATGTACCGTTTGAAAGTGGAAAAGACGTTGCGGAAAACAAACGATCGCGGCGTGCACGCGTACGGCACACGTCGATGTTAGAACGCCTGGCGCCGACGCCAGGCTACGTCGACAAAACGTCCATGGATTTTGAGTCACTAGCGCAGAGAAGGACGCCGCGAATGGCTAGTTTAAACGCTGCCGCGAAAGTGAACGTGTTCTTTGAGCCTTCTAGTCCTTTAGCGGGACGGAGCTTGTTTGAGATTCAACAGCATAGCACCACAACCAAGAAACCCCCGGTGAGGAATTCGACCGAGAGGAGGTATTCGGACAGAGGGAGTTGCAATGGAGCGGACAGAAGTTACGACATGAGGGAGTTCCCTGACTCGGAAGTGTTCTTTCAGAGTGAAGTGACCTCGACGTGGGATACGTCAAGATCCAAGGGTGTGATTGTTAGCCCCAAGGATTTCGGCGATGAGCCAAAACACTCGCCTAACAGCCATTTTGAATTTGTCACCAACGGTCAAAGGACAGGAAAAGATAATCTTAAGCGAAAGCCCGAGGCCGATTCAACTTCTGAAGACGAGAAAAAAGCAAAGAGAGTCCACCTTGATGGTGGCAGTGAACTTGTTAGCACTGAGACCAGTGACACAGTAGATTTAGACGAAAGTGGAGAAGTAGAATGCGACACGACCACGGATTCGCCGCCCAAGACAATGGTGGACGTGTGTATTCAAGTGGATCTGCCGCTGCCCCCTGTCAAGAACGTGCGGGTGCTTTCTGTACCAATCAAAGGACAGCTTGTCACGTCAGCCGGTGCTGTTCCTTTCACCAAGAGCCACCTTGTCACGCCGGTCACGCCATCAAAACCACCTCCGGAACTTAAAATGAGCAAGACCGCGACAACAAAGAGGACTGCAAGCATGAATCATCAGGCGATGGAGAACGTTTTTGCTGCTAACGATGGCCCTTTGGCCAAGTATAAATCCGTGGGTGGACTGATAGAGGAGCGAGGCAAAACAAAAAAAGCTAAAGAGCTAACGAACAAAATGCCGGCATCGTCTTCTATAGCACTTAAGATCCCGAAGATTAACTTTGCCGCCACATCCACGTCTACTATGAGTGCGGGGCGTGGCCGGCCCGCGGGAAACCCGCTAAAAAACATCCATTTAAAGAACTTGAATATTCATCTAGAGAAATTGGCTGCGCAGAGAGCCCGAGCCGAGCCTCGGGTGCCTAAGGTTTGTACAGGGAAGGATGGGAGGGTAGCGTTATGGGAGGGGTTGGGGATAATTGACAGTTGGTTTTATTTTGCTGTGTTTCGCGCTTTGAATTGGCTCACAAACCGAACGCGGCTTTCCGTGCGGTCAAAACCAACGGTGACTTGCTCAGTTGCGTTTTTCCCCGCTATATTAGGAACTTTAAGATCCAACGACGCGACGGCAGCGAGAACGTCAAAAGAAAACAATAGGTTTAATAAGCAAAAGAACAGCTTCACGCGTGCATCACGCTTTTAAGTACATTTCTTTGCCGTCTTTGCACAACTACGACGTGAACGTGCTTAATTTCTCGTTTTATGGAGAACGTAAACAAGCAGAAGGAAATTTTCTTTCCCTTTCTGAGCTTGGAAATTGTCCCTTGGAATTCAAATTCAGGAGGGTCCACCTACATTTGACAAAGTAAGTGGGTAGGAATAATCGCGATAAAGACTGGAAAAACGCAAATTCACTTTTTAAGCGACGTTCTCGTTGCCGTCACGCCGTTGGATCTTACAGTCCCTTTTGCCTTTATGTTTCGAGATCTGTTTGGATGGGCCCTGCCGTTACTTAGTCTCTCCCATGATAGACACCTAGAGTTAGTCCCTGTCTTTCTTGAGTCCTTTCCTTTCACTCTCTGCAAGACGGACACCTCCCTGAACTGGACACCTACAGTCCTCCATTGCCGTTCCTTTGTCGTTTGTTGTGAGTTTATGCAACAGAACTGCAGAAAGAAGAGGACGGCAAAACGCTTGAGTGTGGCAAACGTGACAGGGCTATTACTTGCGTGTTTTTTATGTCTTGATCCCCACTTAACATTAATGTTTTCTGGTCTTTGCAAAAAAATCTGAAGTTTGGCGTAAAGTTATTTCAAACAAAATTATTGTCACGCTTGTCACACAATGTTTGCTGTCTTCTTTCCCCTCCCGTCCAGTTGCGAAAGTTCACTAGTGATTTTAATCAGCGACTGACAACGGCGACGGCAGAGATAACGTCAAAGAAAGCAGTGCGTTTAAGAAAACAGAAAAAATTTACGTGAATAGATGTGAGTTTTTCTTATACGCGAATTCATTTTATTTGGGACGTTTCTGCTACCGTAGCTGTTGTGGTTCAGTGCTTAAGCACCCTCTTTAAGGTGCGGTGGACACCAAGCGTTTTCCATGCGTTTCTTCAGTCGATTTTCTGTGACTCTTTGTAAGGCGGACATTTCTGTAAAGTGGACATCCAGACTTGGTTCCCTCTCTTTTTTAGTCCATTTGTTTGACTCTCTATATGACGGACAGCTCTTAAACGCGGACATTCAGTGCCCCTCTCAGCGTTGACCGTTCTAAGAGAGAGTTAATTGTATTGGAAGAAAGTAGCAGTTTCACTCCATTATTCCTGTCTTTAGTTACCAGCGGCCATGGGGAAATATGAATTAAGCCCTTGACGAAGGGTAGCTCCATTAACCCTTTTCACTGCCAAGTGTGGCCAAAGGCAAATTTCGAGCAAATTTCCACATTTCATTTTCTAAATTTTTTGACAAACAAACAGCATCATGTGAAAGTACAGGCCGAGAGCTTTGATTTGAATGGTCACATCATAGGATTTCATCCACAGAATCAGAAGTTAGAGTCACCGTACAAAACCCTATCAAACACTCTGGCAGTGAAAGGGTTAAGACGCCCACCAATCTTGTCAAACAAATAAACGAAAGCATTAAGGTTCACCCACCCACTAGTCTCTGTATACAGTCAACTATCTCTTAACGGATGCCTCGCTTAAACAGACACCTCTGTCTGGTCACTGCCTTTCTTCACTTCTGTCCTTTGTCTCTGTACAAGACAGACGCATCATTAAAACGGACACCTAGAGTTGGTTACTGCCATTCTTCACTCCTTTTATTTGACTGTCTATAAGACAGACACCTCGCTAAAACGGACGCCTAGAGTTGGTTACTGCCATTCTTCACTCCTTTTAGTTGACTCTCTATAAGACAGACACCTCGCTAAAACGGACACCTAGAGTTGGTTACTGCCATTCTTCACTCCTTTTAGTTGACTCTCTATAAGACAGACACCTCGCTAAAACGGACACCTAGAGTTGGTTACTGCCATTCTTTACTCTTTTTGGTTGACTCTCTATAAGACAGACACCTCTCTAAAACAGACACCTGGACTTGGTTACTGCCTTTCTTCACTCCTTTTGTTTGACTCTCTATAAGACAGACACCTCGCTAAAACGGACACCTAGAGTTGGTTACTGCCATTCTTCACTCCCTTTAGTTATCTCTCTATAAGACAGACGCCCCGTAAAACGGACACCTAGAGTTGGTCCCTGCCTTTCTCTACTCCCTTTATTTGACTCACTATAAGGCGGACGTCTCCTTAAGACGGACACCTAAAGTTGGTCCCTGCCTTTCTTCACTACTGTTAATTGACTCTCTATAAGGCGCACATCTTCCTAAAACGGACACATAGTGCCGGTCTTAAAGGTGTCCGTTTTAGAGAGAGGTGACAGTGCAATGTGAAGTCCAGCGAATTAGAAATAAGAGTGAGTTCAAAAACTCTGGTGGTAACCTCCCTCACATGAGCAGATGCGCGTGAACTAAGTTAACCCTTTCCGTCGCACCTAACAGTGTTCAATGTAAAAATCGACAAAACATTACAAATTTCTTTTCGCAAAATCCTAAGAAATGAATAGCACTACGTAAAAGTTCTATGAAAGACGTTTCATTTGAATGGTAACACCGTAAGATTTCATTCACAAATTTAAAAATTATAATGACAGATGATCTCACTATAACTTGGTCTAGGGATAAAGGGCTAAAATAGACCCGATTACCAGCCGCTGTTCGGGAACTGAGCCCGCGCTTCGCCCCCAAACAAGAGGGAGGACGAGAGATCGGCGGAAATGGAGCCTTGCTTGTGCTTCAGGGTCCTGAGGGTCACGTTTCTCGAAAGACCCGATAAGTATCGGGCGCGAAAAACGGTTCTTCTTGTTTACTTTTAAGATCGAGGCTTCAATAGTTCTGCATGTAATGTGATAAAGTAATCAGTTAACAAAAGAAAATGGGCTGGTTGTTTTAGGACGGGGACCCGCGCTTTTTATTTCATGGGTATGATGTTGATTTCGGGCCCAAAAAGTTGCCGGAACTTTTGAGAAACCAGCCCAACGGTTTGGGCGTTAGTTCCCAGTTGCTAGAAAGGAGGATAATGCTCTACACTGGTTCGATCACTATCCAGTAGAAAACGCAATTGGTTTTCCATACATTTATTCACTGGAGAGCAATTTATCCAGTGGATACTAACACTCTGCAAATTTTAAACAAGTGGGAACCGCTGGGCATTCGAAGACATCACGAACACTTGCGCGACATCACGAGCACGTGCGCGACAACACGAACACGTACGCGACATCACAGACACGTGCGCGACATCATGAGCACGTGGGAAGTAAAGGTCTGAGATCGACCTTGCTGCGGGAGTGTTTTACCATCACTGCACGGAAAACTAGAAAATTTCAGTGATATTCTCAAATGGGACAGTTGACCCAGGGGAAACGCTCCCGGAAAGGATGGATATCCACGGGCCCCAGCTGTTTAAAAAGTTGTGTGGGATAGCCATATCCACCTTAAAAATCACTATATAGTAGATAAGTACCAGACGGACCGATTGCGTCACTCACTGGATAGAGATTTATCTGGTGGATGGTGCTATCCATAGTTTGAGCAACCGATATCAGATGTCTTCCTCTTTTTTCATTCGAAACCAAATGACTGGGAAATAATTGTGCTGCTTGTGGAAGTACGCTTGTACATCTTCTTCCGCAGTCTAATTTGCGCACTTTTCCGAGGTAACTTTGGCATTTTTGGTTGAAAGCTTTAAAATTGCTCGGCTCATTTCAGTTCGAGTGGAAGTAGTGGTACCAATAGGGACGTTTCATTGCGACCAAGTTTTCCTTGCGAATGGTCAACGCTCCAAGTCACCGAACCGTAAGAGTATTAAGTCTCGTTAGCCTTTTGGTCTCGTGAGCTTTTAGTCTAAGCATTGTTCTTTTATCTGCTTTGGAATTGAAAAATGTATCCGCCTCTTTAATTTGTTTTTTATTTTTGTTATGTTTTGTTTGTTTCGTTTGTTGGCATGTTCAACTTGAAGGCCAGTTTGGTACAGGATTTATACGTAGTCGTTTTGATTTACTTTCAGAGAACAAATGGCTGGATGTTTATCGGTGAACCACTGGATAAACCGTACTGCTATGTAAGTGTAAAGATTTCAACAAGCTTTATCACTGTAAACAAATATTTCCCACTGCTTGTAGGCCTTTTCAGTTGATGAAGGACTTCTGTTGGTCGTAAGGGAGCAAGATGAACCGTCCGAACCTGACTGGCTAAAAAAGCACAATCTTTTCTAGGAATTTTCTGGCATTTCTACATTTAGTCACTTTAGACACGCGAAAAAACCGGGTCGAGTTAACTTTCGCAAAGACTTCTGGGACTGTTTCTCGGGACAGGGGAAAAATTGACCAATAGCTGATCAGCGCGTCCCTAGTAACCAACCATCCCAGAAACAATTGCGGGGCACATTTCGGCATCAGGCCCCTTCTCGTTTCTAAAGTGGTGACTTGTCTATAGAAGTTTATGTTGCGTCAGGCAGTGAGCGAATGAAAATTTTCAGTGTTCAAAGTGTTCGAGAAATTGTGGCTATTTTGTGACGTATGCCAAAAACCTGATATTCTCATTGTTGACATTAATGAACCTCGCTTTCAGGACGAGACTATAGTTATACGGCGGTACTACAGCGGTGTTCAACGTGGAGACGAGATCATCAACGTGAGAGACTCTGTTCTACTGAAATCAGGCACGCGCAAGAAGGATCCTCATTTTGTTGCTCGTGTTTCTGGTCTCTGGGAAGAAGATGATGGTAAGACTCGTAAACAAATAGACACCACAAATAGACAACAGTCGTCCATGGTCTGTACTCCTGTAGAGCATATAAATGACTTCATAAAGCCCCCTGCAACCGGGCCCAACATGGTTGGGGTTGGGAGTTATTGCGTCCGTTTGCACGCAGCTAAAAGTTTGACCGGTTTCAAACTTTGCGCAACAACTCCCATCAACACGCAACAACATGTAACAGGGTGTGCAAACGGAGGCAACATGAAACGTCCGATAATGTTGTGTCCGTTTGCACGGGGCTTTATGTCTAAAACTCAAGTGAAGGCATCGAGTGGTTTCAACATTTTTGCGTCATTTCTGTGGTCTGTAAAGCTACGTGCAAACGGACGCAGTAACTCCCAACATTGTGCTAAACGTTTGACCGATTTCAAACTTTGCGCAACAACTCGCAACAACGCGCAACAGAGTGTGCAAACGGACGCAACATGTAACATCCGACAATGTTAGGAGTTGTTGGCCAACAATGTTGCGTCCGTTTGCACGGGGCTTAACAGTACACACCGTGAAAAATTGTTTTCTGTTCGAGAAAGACAAAATATAATTGCGCTGTGATCACGTCTTTTCCATGGACAATTCTCTCATTTTAGACCATACCTCTCGACCAATCAGCACGCGCGAAATCGTTGAACAGCCTTGGTAATATATCTTTCAATCTTTAGGACTTGTATCGTACTCCCACTGTTCAAAAATATGAACTTTCACAGTTTCACCTTCTTCGGGTGTACTGCGAACTCACAGCGTGACCAGCTCCCTATTCGCTTGATAGCTGGAGCTAGTCATCGGTTCGAATCCTGTCCAAGCCTGAATTTTTTTTTAAAGCTTTCGTTTCGCAGATGCGATGATCTTGCACGTGTTAAATCCTTCTCGCGCACTTGAAATGTATAAAAAATTTATACACATTCACTTACAAAACATAACGTTCTTGGTAACAATCATAAACCACGTCCGAAATCGGTATTGAAAATTGTTTCACTGTCGTATCGAGGCATTTTCAACTTTAAAAAATGAACTCTCCGACGCCCTCAACTCTCTTCGGTTTGACAACCCTCGGTAACTGTCGATTTATGCTCGTTTTCTTTTTCCAAATGCAGGTCCGAACGCTGGCGAAATGATGATGAGTGTATTTTGGTACTACAGACCCGAGCAAACAGAAGTCGGTAGAATTCCAAACTTCCATGGAGAGGTAGGAGGTTGAAAACACTGTCACTACACGGATTTTAACTCAGCAATAGGTCATTTCAGAGTTGTGCTAAGACTCTGTTTCAATGCGAGGCTATGGGGCTGTTTACACTAGAAAGATCTCAGAAGGCGGAACAACTTTACGTTGGGTTTACATGCAGAAATTTCGGTCCGTGTGGTTAACAGTAGCCTGCGAGCAAGCTGTCCGGGGCGCTCTGGCGGCGGGGCGGGAAAAGGAAGGAGACCTTGGAACTGCGTCTCTGGAATTTGAATTCCACCTCCAGTTCCCCTGTGGCTCGCCGTCGACTGAGTTGTCAGATTTCCGCCAATCAGCGCGAACCGGAAACGAATGTAAACAAACATTGAAAGCTAATGACGTCACTACTAATGCCATCTCCCCCAATCAGCATTTTGCATCGATTTTTTTCGATGCCGATATTCTTATTCCTTTTCCCACCCCTCCGCCAGAGCGCCCCGGAGAGCTTGCTCGCTGGCTAGGTTAACAGTATTAAGGAGGAATTAAAATTGAAGAATTCTGAACAGTTCTGCTCTTAGCCTTGTTTCGAAAGGGAGAGATTTTGGAACTCGGAAATGGCCCTGTATGCGATAGATTCTCCTCCAATTCGCCACTGTATGAACGAAAAGGGAACCGGAGCCGAAGTTCGCCCGCAATTGTTTCTGGGATTGTTACTGGTGACGCGCCGGTCAGCTATTGGTGCATTTTTTTACCTGTCCCCAGTAACAGTCCCAGAAGTCTTTGCAAGAGTTAACTTGGCCCAGTCTTTTTCTCGTTTCTAAAGTGGCGCGTAAGGAGATGTGTCAGACCTGTTCCTGGAAGAGCTGAGAGCCCTTCACCCCTCCACCTCCTACCTTTGTGAGCCTGCCTGCCTATATATCTGCGTTGGCGCATTGGGTAAAATTATCGCTTACGAGAAGGTTGACTGTTCGCGTAACGGTCGTCTTAAATAATAATGGTGAGGTTATGCAACAGGACGGCAACACACCTGTGTGTGCCAAAGTGACAGGCCTATCACTTGCGTGTTTTGTTGTGATCTTTAGTGTCTCCTGGTCTTTTACAAAAAGATCAGTTTAAAGGAAGATGAATTTTGAGGCAAATTTTTTTCAAACAGAATTATTGTCACCCAAGGTTTGCCGCCTTCTTTTGCTCTCCCGTCCTGTTGCGTAAGTTCACTAATTACTTGGTGTCGTTTTGATTGACAGATGGAAGTCATGGCTTCAAGACACAAGGACGATAACAGTGTGGCGTGTATTGTGGATAAATGTTACGTCCTCAGTTATCCAGAGTACTGCAGGTAATGTAATAGACCTTCGACTTGTATGTTGTGTTTTGCCAATTCAGACCACGTGATGTTCCCCAGGGAATTTGCCTTTTGTCTTTTCATAAATTATGCATTCATATGTACGTGCATGTCATGCACGTTCGTAGGTCTACGTTTGAAAGAAACTCTGGGGTACCATCACGTGGTCTGAAATGGGAAAACGAAAAAGAGAAGCTAGAAAGTGCTATTCCGGTCTTAAGCTTTTTTCAGGCTAAGGGTTTGTGTTCGTGGAGGTGGGGGACCCCAGGTAGGCGAGGTAACCCGCTTAGGTGGGGTAACATGCCTGTCCATATAACCTCTCATTTTAATTTGATCACGTTAACATGATGGTTGAGGTGACCATATGAGCGATTATATGTACAGGCGGGTTACCCCACCTAAACGGGTAACCTCACCTACCTGGGTTCCTCCACCTCCATGTAAACAGGCCCTAAGTGTGTAAACGCAAAAGCTGTTCACTCTTGAGGTAAATAATTTTATGGAAAAATCCGTTGACCACCGTTCTCGTGTGGACGAAAGTCATAAGTTTGTATCATGTTGACAAAGCTGTAGAAAAATATAGAATTAGGGTAGATTCTAACAACGGTCTTGTGTTTTGCTAACCTAGTCCCTGTTCTTTTGTTTCTAGATTCCGCGCTCTCAACAGATTATTCCGGGAGTTTAGAGAAGCACCTCTTTCACCTGTACCCCCAGGGGAAAGCACAAAACCCGGCTCAGTCCCCCATCCCCGTACGGATCCGAGTCTTGTGTTCTTCTGCCGACAAGTGTACGATTTCCGTATGGGACGGATCATAAAGAACCCCGTGTGATACTTCTGTCATCCCGCGCGGAGATGGGATTTTTGCTCATAACTCAGGGATCAATGGACTTTGGATTTGTGTTTTTTAGTTTAGACCACCTGGAACTTCTTCTGTATCCGTAAATAATCCTAAGCTCTTGCGCAAATTTGCCCCTCAACTCAGTTTCAACTCAGAAACAAAAAGTCATATTCTGATTATTGTGGTTTTATTTTGCAGTTCTTTGTGATGGACTGAGAAATCTCCCACTATTTTCTTGACCAATCAGAAGTCAAATAAAACCAATCGTGATGTGCTTACATGCGTTTCCCTGTTGTTGGCGTCCGCTGCCTCAAGTGGTTTTGAGATGTGATTGGCCGAACCAGTCATATTTCGAAGAAGTTCCTTTTAGCGGGCGATAAGCGCGAGAAAACGTGTGTCACCTAGTCACGATTGATTTGTTTACTTCTGATTGGTCGAGAAATTGACGTCAGATTTTTTAGCCAGCCACGAAGCGTTGCAATGCAAAACCAACCCAATTTTAAGTTTCGGTTTTTAATGCCGATAGGCCCGGAAAATACCATAATACTCTTAAATGTGCAGGCCTAGCATTAGTTTAGGTGCACTGGCCTTGGTTGGCATCTTACGCTAGAATTCAGAGCTCGTCTGGGCAGTTTTCCCTTGAATCCACCTCGTTCACACTAAGAAAGTGCTTTGCACGAACAGCTAGTTGCAAGATCTTACCAAATACAGGCAAACAAGAAGGTATTATGGTATTTGCGGAAGGGTCTTTTGAAAACCGCTTGAGCAGTGACAGTAATGTAATTATTTATCATGAAAACCTTCTATTGAACTGTCAAAAAAGAATTGTACGTTAAGTAAGAAATATTTATAGAAAGTTAGTGGAGCAATGATTTGTCACCTAACTCATCAATTTCGTTAATTACGTAAAATATTAACGAGTTTCTAAGAAATATAGTATTTTTGTTATATTAGTTTCAAAGCAGAATTCACCGAAACGGTACATGGTAATTTATAGTGCACGTCTTAATGAGTTTGAATCACGATACTTAAAATAAGAATTTGAGTGTTTTGTGCGTCAAAAACAACGATTTCTTTGTTTTGGAGTACTTCTGAAATTATTCATAAATTCCCCTTTTCCCGTACGCTGAAACTTTGTCGATAAAAACTATCCCTCGAAATAAGGTTGTCAAAGACGAAATAAGTGTTCCTTCTTGTTAAATTGAATTTTGTACGTTTGGTTTTGCGGATTCAGTCTGTAGACTATCCTTTGTTTCGTATACTATCACATTTTTGAGAGCTTGTCTCATTGCCTCGGCTAGCGCCTTGCATACAAGACCGTTGAAATTTCTTCTACCTTCAAATACAAGCACCGACCTATTTAAGGCACAACTGCCATAGAAATGAGGCTCTGTGAATATCTTGATTCCGGAGACGAAGAGTGAAAGGTCGTTGGCAAAAAGTCGACAGAAAAAAACGATATCTCGGTTTAAACTTTGTCCTTGAGCTGGAAGATAGTGATTCCTTTTTGTAAGACAACTAGTTAGCCATCTTTTGGTGCAGTTTGATTCCAGTGAAAGTTGTTAAAAGACCTGAGGGTGTCTGTTGCGCCGTTGAATTTCGCGAATCTCTGTTAGCGGTAGAACGATATCTGCCTAGAGAAGTGTGATTTAGAAATAAAAGCTCTCTTACAATGAGACCTTTGGTTGCGTCGTTATTTGTTTTCTTAATCTTTTTATTTTTAAGAAGGACTACCAACTTGAAACAGCTACTGTGAATCCCTGTTACATTTCCTTGCTTGTTTTTCTTGTAAAAAAAAGTCACTGAAGCATGCCCTGCAGTGCGTCTGTAGTTTTATTTGGCTGGACACTTGCTTGCTTTTTAATTACACAAAGTCTTGGTGTTTTAATAGGAGAGAGTTGCTAGATCCCATTGCGGCCAGGACAGCGTAACAAAGCAATGCCTGCTGGAATATAAAATACATGGCTTCTCTTAAACCGTGATTTCTGCTAACCCAGATTTACTCTTGCTTGTCGTTTTTCACCACCAGCTATTCGTTCGTGAACAACGTCGGAAGAATTTGTTTTCAAGCCTTTCAAAATCAGGTGAAAATACATTGTGCAAATTTTGGAGTTTTTTTTTTTAACTTAACACGCACAGCTCATGCGGACTTGTTGCTGGTTTAAACTTGCACAAACCTACACGTGTGACCACTGCTCTAGAAGTCTTAGACTGTCCAAAAGTCCGAAACTACCTCCTCTCGGGGATTTGGAAGTTTAGGAATCTGTCATTTCCTATCCTCCAAAACTCCAGTGTTAGTTTCCCAACGCAGGCCACAGTTTCCCTAATCAAAATACTATATATAGAGTCCCCATGAAAATTATCCGGGGGGAAACGGTTCCTTGGACAAGCGTCATGAGTATTTTTTATCATGAATCTTATTAACGATCGCACAGACAAACAATCAAAAAAGTTTGAACATTTAGCGTGACTGTATAAGTCACGCAAGATCCTATCACCTGATCGAGGAAGGTTGGACACAAACGAGTTCAACATGGCGCGAGGAACCAGCAAAATTCGTCTCTACGACAGAGACGTTTTTCCTGCAGCAACCGAGGGTCCTGCTAATGTATTTTCAAGTATACCATTTCTTCTAGTGAAGTCCAGGTAAGAAACTAAGTAACAGAATCGTCAAACGATCTTTTCCCGCCAAAACAGTTGCTGTTTTCGTCCTAACTCTCTCATTACTTGTCAGAATGGCGAATTATTTGAAGCCTTCCAGCTAGACTTCAAAGCTCCTTTAAGTAAGCTAATGCTCAAGTGATTATTTTTGTTATGTCAGGTTATTTTCAAGTTATCGCTGATAAGGGTTTGAACGAGGCCGTGCAGCAAGAACCCTCTTTGGGTTTTACAAAATTGATCTTATCTGTCGACTAATATGTAATAATTAAGCTTAAACGCCTTTAGGTTTTTATTGGAAGCTGAAATTGAAAACAGATCAAAATGCTTCAAGAAAAGATTCAGTGTTTTCTTTATTTAATCAAAACCTTGACTAAATTAAGCTTATTTCTTTCAGTTTTTTGGTTGTTTGCGGGACAAATATTAAACTGTCTTACCCGTTGTCTTAAAGGTTGATAAGACTGCAATGCACCAGTCAATTCCATAACCGCCCATCTCCCCCCCCCCCCCCCCAGGGCGTACCCCGGGCATTTGACCAGAGTTTTGCTCCATACAGTGGGGAATTTGACCCAAAGTGGGGCCTGCCCAGTTGGGCATTTGACTTGGGGGGGGGGGGGGGTACTTTAGGAATTTCTGGGTGAGGATGTGCCGCTGGGACCCTGGAACCCTTAACCTATACCAGAGCTAGTTCAGCTAAATTTTGCTTCCCTGTACTAGAGTAAACTCCCTAAATCTCCTCTATCCTAGAGTAGCTGTTTCCCTAGTCCAGATAAAATCTTCAACCAACTGATCAGTTTCCAGAAAAATGATACCCTTTTCTAGACCCAAATGTTCTGATTTATATACCCTATTCTAGAGTAAACTGCTTGAAAACCATACCCTTCACAGCGGCACATACCTATATAGCTCATATATGGCTCAGAATGCATCATTGACAATAGACCACTAGATCGAGCACTAGTTGGATTTTACTAATAAAATATTATTACTGTGTTTAAAGGTGGATTGCAGATGATGCAGCACAGGTCTGCCCTCTTTGTTCGCAGAAGTTCACCCAGATTCGTAGAAAACACCATTGTCGTCAGTGTGGCCAAGTCCTTTGTAGCAAGTGCTGTAATGAGAAGGTAAAGCAGCAGTTGTATCTTTCCCTTACAAGACACTTTAACCCTTTAAGCCCCAATATCCACATACAAATTCTCCAAACTGATCTCTATACATTTTCTTAAAGAATAAGTTGAGAGAATTTGATGAAAGATCAAAGCATTTTCTCTTAGGTGATCAATTTATTAATTATTATTATTATTCTTATAACCAACTCTCTTGACAATCAATAGATATGGTTAGGAGAAAATTGATCTTGGTCACCATTGGGACTTAAAGGGTTAAAGGGCTATGTACGTCATGCTATTTACCCCAGCTTTAAGATGAATGCCTTACTGATCGCTAGTAAGATGCGCACTTAGTCAAATTTGCACACTATGCATGCCCACTAAAATAATAGTGTCTTCAAATCCTGCCAGCTCAAAGCAAGAATTTTTGCATTTGTTAAATTGTGTGCTCTGAATGCTTTGAATGAGTTGCCATCTTTGACCAAATTTATATCATGGCAGGGATGAGGTCTGGTAATGTCGGGTGGTCCCTGGAGGCCTGGCAACAGTGCTTTTGGTTTTGGGTGACAAATAAATCTTAGTGTCTGCACACAACTTATATAATGGGGTGTCTGAATTTCCTAATTTAAGGGGCCCATTTGTCCAAAGTTCGGATAACTTTTTGTGCCTGAAATCAAATTAAGGTTCAAACCAGAATCTACAGTTAACAATTACAGAATAAAAGTGTAGTCCTCACTAGTCCTCACAAGTCTATTATAGTTAGTTAACTGATACAAGTAGGTTTGTCATATTATCTCCAAAACTGTTGTAACCTTGAACTTGAATATAAACAACAACAGCTTTCCTGGCCCAAAAATTATCGTGATTTTCAAGAAACATGGGCCCCAGAGCTTTTCAGCTCCCAACAAATAAGAGCATAACCTTGCAATGTAAGAATTGGGATGCCAGCCCACACGTACATAAGAACATGTAGGTGATTTTGTTTTTCACAAATAATTTAAAATAATATCATAATTTGTAGGTTCCTCTTCCACAGTTGGGATTTGAAGAGCCAGAGAGAATTTGTGATAATTGTCTTGAAGTCACATCTCTTGTGACCAAATCAAGGTCACTCCAGATGGTGAGGTTTTATTAATGAACTTAATATCCCAGGTACCAGATTGGGGGGAGGGAGAGTGGTATGTTAATTATTGTGAGCAATATAAATGCTTGTCTTCATTGTTGAAAAGATGTTTTGTGATTTACCATAGTGTACAAAATACCTTTGTAGTATTCTTATGGTAGTAATGCTATGCTTGGTTCTACCTGGTTTTGCTTGTGATTTGTTGTTTTCTCTGTAAATTTGAACTCAAGCCACAGAAAAAACTCTGTACATTGTGAGTCAGATATTACAGTATGTCTAACAGATTGATTAATGCGAAATATTTCCTTGTTTTTGTCCAGAAGAGGCTCTGATTTGTTTTTGATTTGGATTTTTGTAACAATTTCTTCCATGCTGTCTGACTGAATTTGACATTTATTAAGACTGAGGGTCACTTTAATAAGGCCTTACTTCCTTTCATGCTTGTTAGAAGTAAGAACTTAATGACCCAATTCCTGGTTACGGGATGGTTCCTGGTTGGTTGGACAACAAAGAACAAACCACAGCAAACCCCCCAGTTTGATCTCTTTCTTTATTCGCATTAGTTGATCTTGACTTTGTGTTGAGGTTGTAACAAAAAATTGTGAGTTGTGCGTTAATTTCTGTTAGTAAAGAAGACTTTTTGTTTCAGATATTGACTAGTTTTAGTTGTGTTTTTTCCTAGTCATTCAAGCTGGAGGCAGCTAAAGGTCTTTCAGAATTGTGTAAGGACCCTGCTGGACTAACAAAGGTGAAAAAGAGTTGATTTTCAATTCTACAGAAACAAAATTACTTGCATTAAATATCTGTGTGAAATGTAAGAATTCTTTGGTGTGACTGATACAAATGAAGTTAATGGGACTGGCCCATCGAATGTTTTCTTAACATCTATGTCTGGATTTCGAATGAAATACCATGTCTTGTGCTTATGGTAATTTTCAGGAAAAATATGCAGGGCCCAGTGTTTATTCCAGGTATTTTCTAGAGTGGTACAGATGGTGGGATGTAAGATATCCATGCAAGGAGAGCATACAACAATGACTGCAAATGTCATTCCAAACTCATTGCCCTTTGGGTGGCAATCCTTTCTTTTCAGAGGACCTAGCTTTGTCATTGTATGGGTATTTATACAACACCTGTAGCATGATATCACACACCATTTGCGGTACTCAACATTCATGTGTCGTTAGTTTAACCCTGGTTAGTAACATCTGGTCTGCAAAGCAGTGCCAAGATCCTAGTTCTGACCCCCAGCGGACTCAACAAATTACCAGAAGTGCATTTCGAATTTCCCCTCAACCTGACTGGCAAATGGACAATTTCAAATCCTGGTACGTGGGTGTGGGCTCAGAACCACAATTTCAGTGCTGGTGTGTAGACAGACTTAACCAGAGGTTGAATTTTGTGTGTGGCAGAGGCTATGTGTTGACAATCAGTTGACTTTACTTATCAGGTTGTTGAAATGGGCGGAGTCCAGACACTGATATTTCTCAGTCAAAGTGGAAATGACGAAGTAAAAGTAAGTTCATATAGATCTACCGGTACTATATTTTATGGTCACTTTTTGGCTGTGTTCACCTGGCACTGGATAAATTTTCAACTGGTTTCTAGAGAAACTGTGTGTTTAGGTATTCCATTCACGCGGAAACACCTCCACTGCAAGAAAATTTAGAAGCCTAGTCGTTCAAATTTCCATGTGAACAGAAAAAAAATATTGAATGGTCCTGTGTGAACGAAGTGTTCCGTCAAATTTTTCAGCGGTAAAAAAACTTGTTCAGTGCCGTTTGAATGTACCCTTGTTTAACTGCTGGGCTTTATTTTCAGTTTTACTTGTTACAAATTATTGCAAACCCTAAATGAATGAGACTGGCTAAGGTTGTTGAGAGTGTAGGCTAAATACGAATGCCATCCCAGTGCTGTGTTGATTATGAATGCTGTGCTTGCAATTATAAATGGCAACAGCTTCTTGGTGGTTTGTTTTATCAGAGTTCTGCTGTTATCTTCCTGTTTTTAACCTCAACCTGTGTTGCTTCTATTGTAGGCTGCAGTTGCTTCAGGACTTCAGATACTTTCCACTCATCCCCCGCTACATTCAATGCTGGCCAAGTGTGGTGGCATTAAAGCGTTGTGTAGGTAGGATATACACTATGTATGTGCTGTTTAGTGAAGTTCAATTCAATATTGTCACTGTGATCATATTGATTCCTGACAAAAGGCCAGAGATCTCAACCATTGTGGGGATTGCAGTGACCATTATTGGAAGCAGCCTAGAACTGAAGCCTAGATCTCTCAGTGGTCAGTTGCAATGATCGCTGTGATTGCTACGATGGTGGTTCATAGACATGTTTCCAGTTAACCTTTTGTGATTGCTGAGCTTACATTCAGTGTTCCAAGCTATCACATTAAGCTGTGGAGCTTATCCTGGTTTCCTTAGCATGAAGCATGCTCAGGAGTATTGCTATTCATTCCCCCCTGAACGGGATGCTAGTCCATCGCATGGTTACCCCCCAGCAGTATGTCACTAGTACCCATTTATACACCTGGGTGAAGAGAGACAAAGTGGAGTAGAGTTCCTTGTCTAAGGAAACGCGACGGGTGAGGCTCCCAGACCTCCAGATTAGGAGTTTGAAATGTGCTAACCGCTAGGCCGCACACGCCTCCATAGCTATAGTGTGGTCTATTCTAATTTGATTTCATTCACTAATTTTCTGCAGCATTCTTTCAACTGTCAATGAGAGTCAGGAGCAGACACTGATTGACGGGATCAGTGCTCTGATGATATTTTGCAAGTCACCTGAACTAAAAGCACAAGGTCAGTAAAAGAGGTGTTCTTCCTAAAACTTAATAAGACTTTTTCATTAAGTTATAACATTACCAAAATCATTATGTTGCAGGGATTCCCCCTGACTGCTACATGACCCCTGGCTGCTTTTATTAATAGATATAGGATTAAAAGAAACTTCCTAGATATTCAATTCCCTAACTATACACCCAGCAAGTTGAAATTTTAGTGACAGTTCTTTTGTTTTACATCAAACTTGACCATCTCCTTGTAAATGAGAGAATTTTGAGATAAAGGATATGTTTTAAGGTGGACATATAACGGCTTTATGTTTCGTTTTCAATTCTTTTGTCTTTTAGACTTAAAAGGAAAACTAATCAGGGTGCTTTTTTTCTGTTTTTTAGCGTTAGCAGATGGTGCACTAGATCCAGTTCTAACTGTATGCGCAATGAAAGAAGCTTTAGCACTTCTTGCTTTAATGACACTGAGTCACATTGTCGAACATCAGGGGAACCTTGCACCCCTTATAGAGGTCAGCATTGATTTTGCGTTCTGTTCCTTTTAACCTAATATCCACATACCTGTATTCTCCGCACTGTTCTCTATACATTTCATGGATCAATCATTATACACGTTTTTGGGAAACTGCCCACCTACCCCTCCCCTAAGCCAACAATTTGCCCTAAGTGAAAAGTAAGTGTTAATGTTGGCATAGGGGAGGGGTAGGTGGGCAGTTTTCCAGAAATGTATAATGATCCCATTTCCTTTGGAGCTGGTGAGGCGAATTTGTTTAACAATCAAGACATTTTTTTTTTTTGGTGATCATTTGCTATATACTCATCACCTTTACATGTGGTCTAGCAGTGATATACTTGGGACAAAATGTGTGCTAGTCATTCTAAGTTAGTTTAAGGTGTATATGGATGTTGAACGTTATCAGTATTGAGTTCACTATAGTGAAACAAGGCAGGTTTTAAATTTTCATTAGTAATTAACATAAAATCAAATAAGAAGCAATTTTCTTTTCTGCAGAGTAACAGGAACGCACTACCAAGAATTTTAGCATTGACAAAGGCACAAGATGAAAAGGTACATTTTAATGAAACAGTATATAATCCAAACTACAGCTCATTGCTGTTATTAAAATATGAAAATATATCTAGACTCTTGTTTTAATGAGCGTCTTCGTGTAGTAAAATGTTGAGTGTCAGGTGCACTGTCTAGGTTCTGCTTATTTCTTCGTCCATAACATCTTATAACATCTTACAAAGAGGAACAGTAAAAGAAACTGAATTTTAAACATCTGCTCTGTTATGTTTATTATGTACTAATAGTAATACCATCGCACCTCCACATGCAACCTCCTCCTGTAAGCAACCACCAAACTTTCCCAGTCAAAGCCCAACCGTAAATCCTCTATTAAGCCCCCCTCTCAAATAAGCCCCTTCTTCTCTCTAATGAGCCCCCCCTTTCCAGCAGAAAAAAGTTAATAAGCCCCACCCTCCCCCCCACTAGAGTCTCCGTGAGTGTAGCCTGATTCTAAGATGTCCGAGGTCATTCGTGGCCCCTTCATTTCTCTCACTCTGTGTGCCTAGTCATGTTCATGACGTCAGAGAAGTGAAGGGGCTGCGAATGACCTTGGACGTCTAAGAATAAGGCTACCCTGTGAGTTGATTTTCAGAAATGATCACCTCCCATAGGTGACAACTTAGACTTTCAAAAAAGTCCTTCATTGAATTTAATTGGCCTAAAAAAGCTTGCTTCACTTGCCAAACTCATGAGGTCAACTTGTACCAAGTCTAGTGACCACTTAATCCTTGCATTTTGGGTGGTGGCTTACAGGAGGTTTGGCTGTATTATTGTTTTTAGATTCAAGAAATATCATTGAGGATTTTGGCACAGATGTCTGTTGGAACAGATTGGCAGAGGCACTGCATCGTTCAGGTAGAGACCACGATGTTTGTGATTGACGGTCGGAGTAAACTTATGATGCAAAAATTTTTATTTTTTTATGAATCTTTGATACGATCATAGTCTCTGCTCTCTTTAGGAAGACTTCTCAGCTGGGCGATGCCTTGTGGAAGCTCTGACAAAAGGACCAAAAAATCTGCAAGTATGACGGTTATACCACTTGTTTTCAATAGTTGGAAATATGGGAGAACTGACTAAAATTACATGACATGATACCATAAATCCTCTATCAAGCCACCAGGAGGCTTATTTATTTCAAGCATGCTTACAGGGGGCTTAATAGAGAGGGAGAGCTTACTATTTGACAGGGAGGCTTATTTAATTTAACAAAGACGACAGTATCAATAATTTTCATAAAACCGAGAAGGTAATAAAAGTCGAAAAGCTCAGGCACATGAAGTTGGAGGTCATGCAGCCAAAGCTAAAAAAAAACTAATTAAAACTTCCAGCTCGTGAATAAACCATACCAGGTCAGTCCACATGAGGCATACATGCCAACTCTCCTGGATTATCCGAGAGTCTCCTGGCTACGGCACTGATCTCCCGCTCTCCCATACAGGTCATCAGATCTCCCTGATAAAATTGACTTTTAAGCTATTCTGTGCCTTAGTGTGAAATTTAGCCCCTTTTTTTCTCAAAATTCAAACTTTTTTATTCATTGTATGGTTTCTTGGACATTTTTGCACCTTTTTAGTGACTGACAAAGATTATTTCATCATTATAATGATGAAAGCGAATTTTGATAGCATGTACTTCTTCATAAAATGTCCTAAGCCCTGGCAGCTGGGTCAATTTGTGGGCGGGGGTGGGGTGGGGGGTGTTGGGTGGTGTAGTGCAAAGTAGAGAGTCTCCAGATTCCAGACCTTGGGATGTTGGCATCTCTGGTGAAGTGTTTCAGCCAGGATTAATTTTAAATACAGTGTATCATTTAAGAATAAAGGGGGTAGGGAAGGGGGGTGTTCAACATCTTTCTTTCTCTGTAAATGGGAGGGCCTCATTAGATAGGGGGAGTTATTTGAGAGGGAGGAGGGTGGGGACTTAACAGAGAATTTACATTGATTTAACATAATAATATTAATAATATTATTAATATTATATTTAACCAGATTCAATTTGTCTTTCTCAAGGTTCTAGTGAATGCTTCATGTCTGATTGCAAATCTCGCAACGGGAGACCAAGACCAGGTTTGTTATGTTTACCAGGCATAACAATATTATTTAGAGACTTGATATAATGTAGCCCTAAATTCATTCTACTAAGCAGTACTTTTTGTGTCGTAATGTTTATTATGCTATACAAGGTGATTCTAACTTTTGAGCAACTACTTTCCTGTGGTACTGTTTTTTTTGTACTGTAAAAGGTACATAATATGTAGTCACTGCCACTTGTAAATGTAGTTCTTTGGTGGGACCATTCAAATGAAAGCTACTGAGCAATACTTTTTTGTGGTACAGTTCATTGATAAGCTATTCAAGGTGGTTCTAACTTCTGAGTCTGTGAACAAATTCCTTAAGCAAGCCAAGGCTAAAGGCAATTAAGCTCCCGTCAACATGGACGTGCATGCAATAGCTGGGTTCAGCAGTACTTTCACCTTTCACTACACACGTAAATGTCGTAGTTAATATTTTATCTCAGGTAATTTTTGTTTTTTCTTTTGTTTTTGGGTATGGTAATGTATGCTAATGAAGTTGAGACAAAAGAAAAGTAAAAATTACCTGAGATAAAAAATTAACTACAGCATAAATTTTACTTTGTGAAGTATTTTTTTGCGCTTGAGTATGAAGTGCATGTGGGAATTAGTGCTGATTATTGTTTTTATCTTAGATGTCCCTGCGTGATTGTTTACAAGCCATGTGTTCATTGACCTCATCACATACAGCACACAAAGATATTCAGGTATCAGAATAAAATGTACCTTTACATGGTACTGAATTAAAGCACAAAATTACTTAGTAACTTGCCAGTATATAAGTGCAAAATTAAAAGCCTTCCAAAAATGACAAATATCTATGTTGTTTAAGTGTATGAAAAGTCACGTACAATTTCTCAGAGAACAGCAACCTTAAGATATAGGCTGGTCACTACCGTCGAGGGATTTGGACACTTAATTGACTACAACGACAGTTACATTAATAATAATTAATTTCTTTATATGTTTAATGCCCCAATACATTTGACATGTGTGCTACAAATATGTCACAAACTTCAGGGATGAAGAAGAGATGACTGGCTCCCTGAAAACAGGGTAAAACTTAGCTTTTTTTGTACTTTTTTATGGATACACTCACCCAAATAAAAATCTAATTTAGTTATTGATAATTGCCATTTGTATGTTTGTTTATATTATGATAGAATTAGTTATCAATGGAGTCTTTTCCTTTGAATCAGTCCTTTTTTCATATTTCTGTCCAAGAGCACAGATAAAAATTAATAATATTCTGCAATCCCTTAATTGGTTTTCGTTCCATTTAAGCTGGTACATGTACCTTTAGAGGGTGTATGCTACATTTAATTTCAGTTAAAATCTACTAGAATTACTATTTAGTATCAATTTTTAATGCTATTTTTGGGTTCTTTTCCATTAGGAACATTTTAGTATTTTTAATTACCTTTTAGTTATAGTTTTTCTAAGCAAATGACTTTTAATTATTGATCTGTTCAATTTAACTCCCAGACCCATGTATCCAGAGGTCTTGGAAACTTTGCAAAGTTCCATCAAAATTCTTCAATCCTGGTAAGATTTTACTGGATTTAAAAATTAAAAATCTCATTTTTGCCATACCTGCCAAATCTTCTCTATTAAGTCATGTTCACACCTGCAGGTTGAAAACTTCAATCTTACACTAGCTCACAAATGTATAAGATAACTGTGCTTTTCAAAAAAACTCCAAAGTTCAAAAGCCAACTAATGTTTTCGTTCTTTACTGCCGTCAATCATTTTGTTCATTGCCACCATCAATCATCTTAGCGGACCTCTAGGGAAACAGACCTTTGCCTCATGTCAATGAGTTTAAAAGGTCATAGTTTGTCATTTGTAATTGGTTGTTTTCAATCCCTTTCGTTAGTTTTCTGTGTTTCGAGGTTAGTTGCTTGTTATTCTAATAAATAATGATTGACAAGCGTAGAAAACACAATAAAATTATTGTAAGCTGGCTTTTAAAGTTCAGACAGAGTTCACATGTTGTTGAAAAGTGCAGTTATATAAAATGAACTGCATAGAACCAATGTGAAATTCCATGTGAACGTTTTGTCCCTTCCCTGAAATCTGAAGCTAAGAACTTCAGAAATCTTTGGTAGAAGAGTAATCATGTGTCTTTGGAAAATCCTAGCACTAACAGGATAAAAATCTCATGCCTCGCGTCCATAAAAAGTGGCATTTATATAATCATATGTTGCGGTATTAAGAAGGTAGTTTGATTTTTATTGGTCAGTGCTAGATCCAGACCTTGAGATGGGGGGGGGATCATCCAGACCCTTAGATAAGGGGAAGTGGTCCCCCCATATTTTTCGTCCCTTCGGGCCTCAGTTTCGTCTGAAAATTTAGGAGGGCCCCCCTCCCGTGGATCCGCCACTGCTGATATCTAATTTTTCTCATTTTTCAGATCGACTATCTTCCAAGCATTGTAGAGACACACCTTAAGGTATTTGTTATAATACAAGATGCTTTGTTTTCAAGGATGAGTGGTAGCCTTTTGCTCCAATGTTAGCATTATGTTTGTATAGTCAACAGATAATGCAATCAAGTGCCATGGCCTTAGGACGGTCATGTATCTTATCAGTTATCAGAAAGAGAGAGCTGTGGATGTGTTATTAAGGTATGGACATCGTGGATGTTGTTGATTAAACACTCCTGGCCTCGATCGTTCAAGTATTGGATAGCAATCACCATCGGATCCAGTGGATAAGTATTAGGAGAGCCAATTGCGCCATCCACTGAATAGAAATTTATAGAAATAAATTTATAGAAATTATTTATCCAGTAGATAACACTATCCACCTTTTGAACAACTGGGGCCAGTTCTTAAACCAAAATGACAACAATTTTTATATTAAAAGAGTCAGAGCAATGATCATTAATTTTAACATTTAAAAACAGTTCATGTGTGGCTTTGTTGTAAACCTTTTCTAAGAGCACCATGTACAGTTTCTTAAATGCTTTTCTTGCTGCTTTTCAACAACATCAATCTGAATTTTTGGCCTTGTTTTCTTGATATAGTTTACTGAAAATTAAATGCTGTGTTGATTCGATTAAACGTTGCAGCGTTTATTAAATTTTTAACATTTCCAGTGTGGCATTTATTCGAGGGCAGGATTTATTTCTAAATCACTTTTTTTTTTAAGTATCACTGACGACAGTTTTTGTAACTTGTTTGTAAATATTATTTAATGTGAAGGTTCTAATGTCTCCCTTATTTTGCTGAGATAGAATAGGAATTGTCTGGATGGTGTAAATTACAAAGTTGTAACAAGGTTTTTCTTATTATCCTCGAGTAAATGCTACATTCCTTTGATTAGGTGCAGCGTTTATTGGTAATTTTGCTTCCATCTGTGGCGTTTGATCTTGGGTGGCATTTATTCAAGGGTGGTATTTAATCGAATAAATACGGTAATCTCGATAATGGTCATAATTATTAATTATCATTAATTAGATTAAAGGGCACATACATTAATCTGCAAATTCAGGCAATTTTGAGGCAATAAAAGTCACCTTAAATTTACATCAGCCCTTTCAAACCAAGTATTGTAACAGTTGTAAATTTTTTGTGATACAACTTACCTCATTTTGAACACATGCGTGAGATATGTACTTGGACCTTGAAAGATTTCATGGGCTTAGTCAGCATGTGTCTTAATGTTTTAATTTTCATTGCCATTTTCAGGGAAGGTGCTCATGAAGTTCTCACAAGTCTTGGCACATTCAATGGAATTGTTGATGCAGTTGAAACTGGTTTGCTTAAAATTGTACCCACCCTTAGTGATTGTACTATTACAAAGTGATAAATAGCATTTTGGACGTGACATCTGTATATTTTGAATACTGAATATTCTAATAGTTAGTGATTATATATAGTTATTGTCAATATTACATTTTTACAAATTTTATATTCATGACTTGTAGACATCTCACTAATTTAAGGACAGACACTTTGAGTTGATCTCTGCCATGTCAAGCTTAAGGATTTTCTTTACTTTTCACCCTTTAAACACTGACTTCAAAGTTCAAATTCTCATTTGTTGTCCCTGAACATTTCCTGTAGGATTAGTGGGGAGATGTTGTAAAAGCATCAGTTAAATTCACCTTGTGGGATCATTTTCGTTAATTCCCCTGACTACTCTGTCTAATAAAGCAATAATTATTGATATTATCAGGGAAAATCATAATGTGATGCTGATCAAATAAAAAAAATGTAGCTAGCCAGGAAACTAACTTGCCCAAGGCCAAAAACTACTTGTCCCGGACGAATGTACAGGACTTTTTTAAGCCTTGTTACTCCAAGAGGTTTTTCTCTCCGGGGTGTAATGGTTTTCCCCTGTCTTAAAAAACCAACACTTCCAAATTCCAATTTAACCAGACTCACAGAGACTCACAAACCTGCTCTAAACAGGTTTCCTTGGAGTTTCTAATTAAGAGTTTTGTAGGTAAACAAATTACATTTTAGATTACATTATTTTAATAAATTATTATTACAAATTACATTTTTATAATTGATGGACACTTAGAGCAGCTGGTCCCTATAGTGTCCATTTTAGAGAGAGGTCACTTAGATCATGAGGCTTTGTCATGTTGACCATTGCTTAATGTTTTTACTGTCAATTGTCCAGCGAAAAAAATCTCAAAAAATTGCGTTACTTGTCCATGGCTACAATTCCGCTCTGTGCGATACCGTCGAAAATTTCAAGGTTGTCGGCAAACTAGGTGCACAGGCATCCTATGCACTAAAAAACGCATTTGTGCTGTGTAGCCTGTTGGCAGTATTCTGGTTATTGTGTTATTTTTGATTGAAGTCAGAAATAAGGTTGTACAAATAGTTTTATGAATAAATGTATGAGTCGTTTTTATTTTTTATTAATTTAGTGATTATTTAGCTTGGACAACTATATATAAAAAGTCCAGTGTATGATTACATCTGTTGTTGGTTGAATCAATTTTGATTCAGAGCTTTCTTTGTTTTCTAGCCCTAATAATTCCGAGCAGACAAAAAAATTTCTGGTATGACAGATTTTTCCTACATGTACAAAAGTCTTTTCGCTGGACGAACATATTCAACTTACACGATAAAAAGTGTGTCAAGCATTTGAGCTTTGGTGTTGTTAGTAACTGTCAGGACAACATGAGGGGGTATGTTTGGGTGCTGGAGCTATTGTAGAAAATTCAAAGGGGTAGGGGAGGGGGAGCATGGGGCACATCCCTTCTGGGGTGGGGGTATGGACTGTTTTTTTTATCAGTTTGGGAGGAGGGTATGTGTGGGGACTGGAGCTTTCCTGAAACATCCGAAAGGATAAGACGGAGGAGGAGGGGGGAGGGGTGGCATGTGGCAAATCCCTTCCGGGGGGGGGGGGTAAGGATATTTTCTTGAACAAGCTGGGGGCTTGAGGAACAACATGCTATGCATATTTTTCAAGTCATGATTACAGTGACATTGTAAGATTACTTGATTTAATATTATTGTATTCATCTAAGGAAATACAATATGTGACATGATTTTATAAGCATTTCTCAGTTGGTCATTTTGCTTAGTGAGGGAGTCACTATATGAACATAGTAACCATTTTTATAGGGCATGCCCTCTGTGCTTGTGCAACTAAAAAAAAAAGAACCAAATGGAGCAGAATGATGTAAACGTCACTCTTAACTGCTGAACTATATTCATGGAAATCCCTTGACATTAAGTCAATGACTTAACTTTTTGTCATTTTTTAGAACATTATAAAAATAGCAGTAATATTAGAAGTGATATTTTATATTGGTCTTATGACTTGTTGATGGGCCATATTCTCTTAATGATCCAGGCCGTACCAAATTTATTTAATCCCAAGCAATTTTAGAATACAAACCATTACATGTATATATATATATGTTACGCTAATTTATAAATTTAATTGGATGAATATCATGTCGCCATTTGAAAATAAAATAATATTGTTAAAGAAAAGATGTTAGTATTTGTCTGCATGATCAAGAACTGATGTTTTGTGAAGAAGCAACAATGAAGCAATATGATGCATTGATAAATGTTGCTAAAAGGTCAAGGAGATAAACTTCACATGTTTATTGATAACAATAATATTGAAACTTTTTTTTAATTAACTTTTTTATATTAACAAAGAATGAACTACCAAACCTTCTTGCTTGACCATCATGCAGTGTTGCTGGTTTAGCCTGTGAATGCAGATGTAGTTCCAGTTGTCAGAAATGTGTCTGGGTTTGCAAGCTAAATATGAGTATGAGGGGTGGTAAATAAGAGAGTTGTGAGAATTGGAAAATTTTGTGCTGATTTGGAAAACTTGAACACGTTTGTGATGAGTCACGAAGTGGTGGGATATGCCCATCATCAAATTATAATCACAACATTCTCTGGCACAATGACTGTGCTTACTGAATTCTCTCAGTCTATAGGTTTGTTTGTAAGGGTTTTGAGATGATGAGACAAGGAAATAAATTTTTAACCTGCCACTGGACAGGTATTAAAATTTAATAGAACCTCTTCACAACAGCCACCATTGGGGACAGAAGAAAGTGGCCATTGTCAAGAGGTCAACCACCGCTGGTCTTAAAACAACGGAGGAGAATGTGCTGCCTTTGTTGTGACATCTGCAAACGGTTAGATTTTCTAGTCTTCTCGGATAAGGACAAACTATAGGCCCTGTGTCACAGCTCTTTCTCTGTTTTGATTCTTGTGGGACGTAAAAGACCCCACACTGCTGTTCATAAAGAGTAGGGGGCATAGACCCCAGTGGTGTGGCACAACCCTTCATGGGCTGGGTGGGTAATGAAGGGGTTGATATCAATTGGAACATAAGTCCTAGCTGTTTCATCCCCCATCACCGTGTCAAGTCACCGTGGTGATCAATTCAATAAAGAGTCAAGGTATGGATTGATTTTTTTTGTCCGCCAGGACAAAAAAGTAGCGGTTGTGGAGAGGTGGCTGTAAGTAGAGGTTTGACTGTAATAATATCATTACTGCATTTTGTGCAATAACATTATCCATCACCATAAGACACTTGTATTATAACATTTTTGTATTTATACATAGAGGATATTACACGGTGGCACAAAAATATGAATTTTATTTTCGAGTGGCAAAACAATATTTTACGAACGAGCGCAGCGAGTGAGTAAAATATTGTTTTTGCCACGAGAAAATAAAATTCATATCTTCAAGCCGCCGTGTAATGTTCTTTTTATTATATAGACAAAAAGACATCGATAAAATAATAGAGGGAAATTACCGAAATTACATCATCGATAAACTCACGTGTGAGATTATGGAAAATAAACCACTAGGGTCCCGGATGTAGTTTTTATGAATTTTACGAGTGGTATATTTTCCTGTAAAACACTAGTGTCTATGTAATAAATTACAATAATACACATTGAAAGTGCACATTTCATTGAGTCTTATTAAAGATAGTATTTTTTTTTTCATTAAAGTACTTGAGGATTTATCAGATTGAGTTTTATACACCTCTTAATATGTTGACATTGCAAAAATTTATTAAATTTTTGTCAGCCATGTTATTTTCACTTTTCATAACGATGTATTTAATAATAACAGTCTTTTAAATTTGTTAGCTGTAACCTCTTTTATCAACAGTAAATAAATTTACTACATCTTTGGTCCATGCTTTAATATTAAATTTTATATAAATGTTACTTTCAGTTTAATTCTTGACAATTTATTACAAATATTACAGCATAGTACAAATATTGCAAAATGATAGTCATGCAGATGTGCTTTCATCAATAAGCCGGAAATATTAATAAGACTTATTAATTTCATTTATAGTCACATCCCAACAATAATTCAACTGTTATAAGTAATGTTACTGCATCCAACAATAGTAGTTAAATGGAGTTTCAAATAATGTGTCTGAAACCATTTCTTTAAAAGAATAATAGTAAAGATGATGATAATCATAATTTTGGCTCAAAATGTTTGTACTTCAAATTTTTCTGGGACCCACCTATAATATTTTGTAGCTAATTCCAGCAACTTAAAAATAAAGTATTAAATAATAAAGATGGCTACATATTTTTTATGTAGCTTCATTTCAAGCTTGAAAGGAAACATTGTTTTTTTTTAATAAAATAAACAAGGGGCAGAGGTACCCCAAGTTTGAAATGTGAGCACCACAATAATTTTTATAATTCAAAAAGGAGACAAAATTAAAAATAAAACTGACTAGAATCATTCTGAAATGCCATAATACTTGACTCACAAAGTATAGAACACGGAAGCAAGTTAAAAATTTTTTTAAGAAATACAAATATTTTAGCCCTCTCTTTTAATTCTCAATTGCAATTGATAAATACAAACTCTCACAATTTACAATGTAAGGAATAGTATTCTGACACTCAAATTATAATGGTCACATATAAGCTCACATTCCAGGCCTGAAGTACCTTGCGGTCCTTCTCAATATATTTTCACTGAGACGAAAAACATAATTCACTATTCGTTATTTGTTTTAAGCCCAATAAATAATTTCATATTCTGTGTATAATTTTGTTGTCAAGCGTTTGTAAATGCATAGGTTTATCTTCATTTTGTCTGCATAACCCTATTTTTTATGTGTTTGTGTATTTCTGCATTGTTCTAAGAGCTTATTAAAAATTTTATAATATATTATTTTGTATATATTATATACATATACACCTTTAGTACCACTGTATAAATACTATTAGATATGTTTATCGTTATCTTTATGTCCTTATCTTTTTCATTGGGGATTCACTCGACTTGGTTATTTAGTGTTATATTTTAGGTATTCTTTTTGTTCACTGCCTTGCTCCTTGATTCTCGAAGTTGCTGGATCCAGTCTGTTTCTTTCTCATCAAATATCTTCTCACCAAAGGCCAGAAGACCGAGCTGGGACTGTGAAGCTTCTGACTTCACTTTGCTTTTAATACAGGCCAAAAACTGTGCTTGGGTTAAATTACGACTGCAAAATTTAGGATGCCACATGTGAAATATTCCTCTGTCAGCCGCTCTTACAACAACCAACTCACTAGCAAGATAGTTGCGGTACAACTTTACATCCTCCATTCCCCAGCCTTTGATTGACAGGTCAAACCCGCCTATATTCTCAAAGTCACTTTTGTACTGGCAGGTCATGCCAAAGCCAAAATCCCTCCAGTAACCAGTGTCACGATTAATACGGTGCTGGTGTGCAGCGGGCGGGGGTGACCCACCATAAACAATCATGGGATTGTACAGACTGAAAACTACAGGGTAGTAGACCTTCACTCCTGGTGTGGAATGAAATCTGCAGCGGTCCAGAAAATTAGCAGTGAAATAGACATCTACGTCGCAAAAGAACATAAGTACATTTCCTTTGGTCCAGGAAAGTGCCCCTTTCTGTAAGCCATATCCCCTGGAAAATGTTTCATTTGTAAAGATAAGCTTGTAGTCTGTAAAATTCTCCGCTTTGGACACATTTTTCACCAAGGATTCCAGCTCCTGTTTACCTTCCTGGCCGAAGAACACAACAGTAAGAAAAACTTGCTGGTCCCATTTGATGCAAACGTCAACAAAATTGTCCAGGAATTGTTTAAATTTATCCAGGCGACCAGATAAAGGCAAAATTAAGTTTATCAGCTCATTATTTGTGTCCACTGTCTCAATGTTTCCGGCAAGAGTCAAGGGACCGAACGATCGTTGAATTTTAACACGATGAAAAACCTTGTTACCGGCCGCTCTAAAATAAAGATCGTATTGTGAACCGTAAATCCGATCCACGCGCATTATTCCATCCGCGAGATGCATTGCGGTGGCTTCCAGCTGCTTGCCTTCCCAATCCTGATTCAGCGAATCCACAGCGAACTTAATAACTTCCAAGTATTCTTTCCCTTTGAAACCGTACGGTCTCTCCGCCGGGTTGCCCGACAGGCCATGATAGACTTGGTAAATCGCATTATACGCTAAACCGTCAAACGGGACGACCTCAAATTCTGTCTTCACCTGGTCGCCTTTTAGAAATTCCCCCTTAGCTATCTTGCTTTTTTCGCTGCTCAACTCTTGAGCGATCGTGATTTTTTCCATGGTTTTTAGCAGTCGTATCTCCTTCAAGAGCCCCTCATTTCGAGAAGATAAATCACGAACCGCCTTTGTCAGGGCATTGTTTTCGCGTTTGAGATTTCCCATTTCGCGTTTGAGTTGGCGAATTTTCTTTGACAGCGAAGAAAATTTTACCGAGAGGTTTTCCATGTTGGAGAGTTCGCGATTTGTTCTGTTCGGGTCTTCTTCTGCCACAAATCCACGACATCTTGTAAGAGTAAATAGGAAAATTTGTCCAACGAGAACAAAAAAGATTAACGCAAAAGTCGCTCGAAAAACTGTCACAGTCGAAATCCTTGGCATGGCATATTTCCCACGGCCTTGATTTCCAAGTTGTTGCGATTTCTTTGGCCTCGCGGGGTATAAATTATAAATTCATCGTCGAAAATTAGAACAAGTTATCACCGTTTGAATGACCAGTTGTTGCAGCGAATACAACTCGTACATGATCAGCTGTGTTTAAATATTGCCACATGTATAATTATTCGTGTTTACCCACTTCGCGGTGTGACATGTCACGCACTCTATGGTTGACTATTGGGTAATTGAGCGTTAAACTTTTTTAATAAACAAACAGTTGCCATAAACGATTTGTGGTTCGTGCTAAGTGGATAATTTTTTGAATGCTAAGAAAATATACCAAATATCAGCCGCAATCGCTGGACACAGAAGTACATCAATAAAAATTCTGACGAAAATCGCTTAGACCGCTTAGATCTCGAGTTTTTTTGAGAGTTCATTTATTGTCGATCACCCGCTTCTAGAAATTGTATACTCTGTGGAAGCCTTCGTCGACAGTGACTGCGAATGAAACCAAAAGGAAGCAAAAGCGGCGTACTTGAAAGGATATTTTGTCTTCTTTCTGTCAATAACAGTCAAAACAGCTTTATCTCTCCGGCTATTTACACATTTCAATGAGTTCCTTTGTTGTATTTTATCAGCAATGACAAGGCTTTTATTTAGAAGCAATTAGTCCGGGGCGGGGGGTACTCCCATAAATTACCTATACGGGTATGTGCCGCCCAAAGGGGTCGTGAATTTAGAACGGGGTATCCATTTCAGAGGCGTTTTCTAGAACGGGGTATAATATTTCGAACGCACGAAAGCTCCACTTTTGTGAGCAGCCATTTGAAAGTATTCAAGGACAGATTGCTTTTAACAATACGGTTCAATGCGTTAACAAGCAAACCGTTGTACTCTTGTTGCACCCTAGAACGAAGTATAAAAAATTGGCCCATTTCTAGAACGGAGTATCAGTTTTAGGGCGAATTCTAGAACGGGGTATAAAAAATTGGCCTATTTCTAGAACGGGGTATCAGTGTATCAGTTTTAGCGGAACTTTTTTAGAACGCGGTGCCAATTTTGGAGTCCCGGGCGGCACATACCCACCCAAAAAATACCCAAGTGCCCCCCCCCGGGCAATTAGTTCAAGAGACTATAAAGGCCAGACAAGTCAATGCCGCACAGAAAGTTACACAATAGAGGAGTGAGACAAAAGACCTTTTCGGAAATAGCTAGAGTAGAGTACATGGGTTGTCCAAGGATGCCTGTTATACAGTGACAGTTATATATGACACCACAAACGCTAAAATGATTACGGCATTTCCAACGATCTGATGGAAGAAACCAAAAGATTAGAAAAGGGGTATAAAGAAGTCATGGGTTCAATACTGAAGTACTTCCTTATACGAGGCTAATGGGGATGTGCTGCTGGATGGGGTCGCATTTTCACGACTGGATTGACTATAATGGGGTCGCATTTTCAATCGAGTTACTAGAATGGGGCCACACATTTTCGGAGTTTGGGGGGTTAGACAGCTCTTCACATTTACGGTTAGCAAACGTACCAGAATGTTTATCAGTAGGTAAAAATTTTAAGTGTTCTTCATTCAGGTTAAAAAATGGGTCAACTCATAAAAAAAGAAAGTGACTAAGTTGGGATCGTAAAAATTACATATTTGCTCAAAAGTGACTAAGATGGGTTTTTTTTACTTGTCACAGAATAGACTATAATGGGGTAGGGGCTCCGAGAGGCCAGCGGCACACACACAGCAAAAATTTACCCAAGTACCACCCTCCCCCCCTCCCCGGCGTTGTTTGTAATGATAGTTGACCAAGCATTGAAACAAAACAAGACGTTTGATAAAAGAAATACGTACTGCGTGGTAATTCCAATTTTGCCTGTCGTGACGTTAACGGTGGGTTATGGCTGACCTGCAGCCTTCCTACCATGGAAGCAAGCAACCCTGAGAAATATTATAACGGATCTTTATCTATTCTTTTCGTTGCTACAGGCTAGTACCGGAGGGCGCTTGGATAAGACTGTTTCCCATAAAGGTATACTGCGTGATTTTTTTGGCGTGACACTTCTGGTAAATCACAGTGATGACGTCACTAATGATGCCGGTCACGTTCCCCTAATATTGTTTTGTAATTGGCTGTTCAGGGCTTATTTTATCGATTCACCTGGCTGAGTCCAGGTAACAGTCACAATTCTCGCTAACAAGCGACAGAAGTTTCAAGAAAAATTACCTAATGTGACGCCCTGGCCGTCGGATAGCGCTATCCACCGAACAAAATAGCCTGCATATCAAGCGTTTTACGCGTTTTTCAGGCGAACGAAGGCAAGCGCAGCGCGTGTCTGATACTCCTCGCCCGCTTCACTCTTGCCTTCGCTCTCCCGAAAACCGCAAAAAAATATGTATTTCTCCTGTTATGCAGGCTACCGGATAAATCACTATCCAGCAGATAACTATTAGGGAAAATAGGGAGTTTAAGCAGCGACGTTTTTGAACGACGAACGTCAACCGGAAGTAAGCGTTTTTCTCTTTTAATATGCCTTGGCCCCACCAAATTTGTATTGCTAAGTGTCTTTACTCTTATAGAGACGATTTGCCCAAAAATTTGTTCAAAATCACGCCTCAAGGGTGTAAAAAAACAACTTCCGGTTGACGTCCGTCGCTCAAAAACGCTGTTGCTTAAGCTCCCTGATGATTGCATTATCCACTGGATAAATTTTGAGAGCGTTATCCACCCTTTGAACAAATCGTGCCGGATGCGTAGGCTGACATAGTCAAGTCTCTCTCGCGTTTTGGTACCCTGAATACCAGAGGGGCACACCCTATGTCTCTACATGTCTCTGACGCCTGATCGCACTTTAAGTGAAGCAGAGCCGAGGCCAAGATGAAACCATCGACAACGTAAAGCCAAGTTTGGACTGCGCGCGCATTTCAGACAGAAGCGCGCGCATTTTCCGTTGCCCAACAGTGTGACGTTTCAATCGCTGGTTGCAGCTGTAAGAGCCAATCACTAGACGACTCGTAGAAACTTTAAAACAAACAAACCATACCGGAGCAAGAAAGCGACATAACATGGAGCCAGTACAGAAGGGAAGTGATTCACTCAACCAAGACGTGGACTTTAAACTAAGCGCTTCTGAAAATACACCAGATAAGATTTCATCTGCAAGGACTGGAACAGAAAGCCCCGAAATCGAACTTGGTCTTAGCATAGATCAGTCGATGGAACGGAGTTTTGGTGAAGGAGATCCTTCTTTGAGTGAATTAACCCCTGTAATAGGTTCAGAATTCACGGAGGAAAGCGAAGTACCGCATACCAATGATCCTAACGATTCACTTGCTGAAATAAGAGACGATTTATTTGGGAGGAGTGAAGTTATTGAAAAGGAGAAAGAGATAATGAGCGGAGAATCACAGAGTTTTTCTGAACAAGGAGACTCAAGTAAAGTGGAAATCCAAAACCGTGAAAACCTCTCTAATCACAGCAAGAAACAAAATTCCAAAGAACTTGTTTCAAAAGGAGGAAAAAGAGAAAAACCAGGAGAATTATCGGTGAAGAAGCTGAGAAAAGATCAGTGTTGTCAAGCTGATAGTTTAAGAGAGAACTCAAAAAGTGATGAAGTTCAAATTCTGAAAGAGAAACTCGCTGTGAGTAAGAAAGACACGCAGACCATGCAGAAGGTGTTAGAAGACGTTCGTAAAGACTACGAAGATCTTCAGAAAAACTTTGAAAAAAGAGAGAGCGAAGCAAGAAATAAAGGATTTATTGAGGAGATGACAAAGGAAAGCAATGAAATTAAAAAGGAAAAAGCTGAAGTTAAACGCAAAGGGTCGAAAAAAGAATGTAAAAGTTCGGATGAGTTGAGATCGTTGGAGCTAGATAAGCCGATTACGGTCAAAGCGGCTAGCGACATGACCTGCCCTTGCTTTGCGCAGAGTTTTCGTAAAGTTGTAACGGATGTTACTGAGGATTTTAAAGAAACCATCTCGCTGATAAAACAAAGTTCGCAACAGGAAAAGGAGAGGATTAGAAAAGAACTTGCCCAGTTAAACGACGAATATAAATGCGCTTTGGAGAGAAGAGATTCTGAAATTCATGCATTTGAGGAGATGATAAAAGGTTTGCAATCAAGGATACGTGAAAGCGAACGAGAAGTTGCAAGTTTTCGAGATGCAGTGTCGTCAGCTTATGAAGAAAAGATTAGACTGTACGATGATATTTGCGCGTTAAAAGACAAACTTGCAAAGGTGGAGCGTGACGGCGAAACAAGTCGCGCTGCCTTAGAAAGAATAAAACACGGTTTAAGGAAATTTTGCACGGCTGAAGAGTATGAGGAACTGGAACATCAAAGTTTTCGATTTAGGGACTGTGGAGAACTGGAAGGAAGTCCTAGAGAGCGAAGCGAAAGCGATGAGAGTGGAACTGAGGTTCATGACAAACTGGCGAAGTTTCATCCGGTCTTAAAAAAGGCCAAAAAGGAAATAACCAAGCTAAAGGAACAGAAGCAGGATGCCGAAAATCGTTGGCAAGAAAAGGTCTCTCAAGCGACGGAGAAGGAGAAGCAGTTATGTAAGAAGTTGAAAAAGGCTTTGAGCGAGTTGAAACAAAGCCAAAGTGATACAACAGAGCTTTCAAAACAGTTGGAAGCAATAAAACTTGAAAATACCAGACTAAATACTGGTTCTGATGAACTAGAAGGAGAATTGGAAGATTTGCGCAGAGGGTATGCACAAGAGCTAAGAACGTTGAATGACAAGTTGAAGATCTCGAACGACAAACTGATGCATAGCCAAGAAAAATATAACCAACTGCAAGAGGAAAATAAAATATTACGTGATGACTATGACGATTTAAAGAGTTTCGTGGACGAAATGAACGCAAAGAAACTGAAAGACGTTGTTATTGATGGCTCTGACAACGGGGACGATTTATCGGAGCTACTGATAAAGGTGAGATATCGATTTTATTATTCTTTCAAAATATTTCGCCGTATCTGATTGGCTCAAATCTCCCGACTAACTCTCCATGACTACCCGGCGTTAGGTGAGAACGATATACGATCGATTCGATGATACATTTGCTTGGAGACGAGGTTGATCGATGGTATATTTGCGTGGAAACGAGGCTGTTTGAAATGGTGTTTTACAGCTATCTGAAGACAAACTAGCCGAATTCCTGACTGTTACTGAACAGAAGAACTGAACGTAAGATTTCAACAGTTACGTGCGACTTAAAGATTAATGCAGCTAGCCCCTGGTTTTATCCAGCATAGAAATATAAGTAGCTGCCTCTAACCTTGACGCTACGCGCGAAAACCGTAAGACTTCACGGGAATGATGATTCCCAAGATAAATCGCGGTCCGCGTGAAAGAAAGGAGGGTCTGCTGGGAAGGAGGCAGCTAATAAAGGATTCAAAAGGCATCCAAACGAGGTTAGTGTGTCAATATGATGATCTTTTGGCCTCGTTTCCATGTCAAGACGGCTGATACATATGTAATAACAGTCATTAAGAGCGCAAAGTCGCAGATAGTTTGTATCGTTCGTTAAATAAAAGTCGTTTGGAGGCTGTATGTTCTTGACAACGTTAATGGAGGGCGCTTTCCATTCAACCCAAAATTCTGGAAATTTCCGTTGGTACATCAAATGCAACGGTCTGATTCGTTTTGGTCCGACCGGAATATTCGGGACCAGCTTTAAAGGTGGTCCACTTTGATCCGGTTATATCGGTCTGTGCGACCGAAATGTCCCTTTCCATTTCCAGTACCGCTCTTGTATCCTTCTTACAAGAACAATAACCAAACGCGCGGTGGCTTATGTCTGGTCTGTGTAACCAGAATGTACCGTTAGCATAGGCGTACGGGCAATTTTTTGCAAAGCTTTGCAAGGGGGGGCGGTAAACCATTTGCCCAAAAAATTCTTGCAAGTCGACCAAATTTTTACAAAACAGTCGAACAGAAACGAGGGCCATACGATGCAAAAACATAGGCCGTACTAGCATATGAAAGTGGCTCGATACAGTTTTTCAGGGTCAATACCTGTGAAGTTTTTTTTGAGCATAGACTACGACACCATAAACAAACATTTGGAAAAATTGCCACCACAGTTGTATTAGATAAAGATGAAAATTTGTTATGATCCGGGTTGCAATAACATCGGAGTTGTCCTAGCAACCAAATGACGCCATTACCTATTATACTTGCAGCAACATTTCTCACTGGGAACTGTTGTTCCAAAATCGTTCACGGGAGCCTTTTCCTCCAATAGTCGCCTCGATGTTCGTGAAGTTAAAACGGATTGTAAGAGCGTTGCGGAGATGTTTTGGGATAAAGTTTTTATCGTTAGAAATACGGTAAAAAAGGAAAATCTTGATGTTTGGCCGTTATCTGTAGAAAACGAAGCGCTTTTGACATGCAATTTCACCTCATAGTAGTTTCAATCTTTCTAAAAACGTGGGTAAAAGATCATTGAGATTGCTCTGGCCAAAAAAGGATTTGAGTATTTAGTATGTATCATGGAGCTCTTGTTAGCGGTTTTGTAAACATTTCGGTCTACTTTAACAAATTACCGGTAGTGAATAATTTTTAAACCACTCGATAGATTTTTTTTAAAAAAATTACGATTCTTCGCGTAATGACCGTAATTCAAACTGAGAATTAGTCAGCCACTTCTTCACTTTCAGACCCATTGCTGATGCTATCTGCCATACACTGTTCTACGAGCGGAGATGATTCTAGAAAGTTAGGCGGAAGTTTATTCTAATCAATTCACGACTGGAAATAGCCCATTGCAGTACAGTGCCCAACAATGAAAAAAAATCAGCACATGATACCCTTCCCTTATAACCAAAAACTCATTACTTGCTAGGCAACCACTGTCTCGTGTGAATATAACAGTACTGGATTATTATGCCAACTTCAGGTTAAAATAGAAAATATTTATATCTTCAAAATAATGATTTAAAAAACAAGGAAACGTCTTAAAAAACTGGCTTTGCCCAAATTTTCTCTCGCTGCCCAAAAAATCTGAGTTGCCCAGAATTTGGGGGCTGCAGTCCCCCCCGCCCCCCCGTTCCGTACGCCTATGCCCGTTAGATTGGGCACGTGGAATTTCCGAAATTTCAAACCGGAATTTTTGTTGAATGGAAAGCGCTTGGAGTTTATAATACCGAGAATTTATTCCTTGTAGGACGAGGCATCGCTAAAGAAACAGCTTCAAGTTGAGAAAGACAGGAACGAAAAATTCCAGAACGAAATACAACTTCTGAAAAAGGACGTTGATCTGTGGAGAGAAATAGTTAGCGATGAGGGGTTTACTGGAGGTGTGGGATACCTGAAGATTGAAAATGAAGATTTAAAACAGGAAATAGAAGATCATCAGTAAGTGAGAATCGCGTACAATATTCAGGATAAATAATTATAGAGAAGAACATCACAGTTAAATACGCAACTAACGCAGTTGCGAAGAGAAAGCCCGAAAAAATTTAGGCTTGCCGGGATTCGAACCGTGACATCTGCAACATCGGTGCCCGGGGAGTTAGGGGGGGTACTTCCTAGTAGTAGGCTAATGGGTATGTATCGCTGGATGGGGTCGCATTTTCACGACTGGATTGACCATTATGTATCAGGTTGCATTTTTATAAGAGTTACGAGAATAGCGTCGCACAATTTCAGGATTTGGGGGGTCAGAAAATTCAGCTCTTCAGGGATTTAAAAATGGAAATATTTACACCACATTAAGTTTAACAAACGTGTCAGTTCATTTCAGGATAACCTATAAGTAAAAAGGCTTTATAAGGTAGATGCATAAACAAAAAGTGACTAAAAAATTGCACGCATGACTAGTACGCACTGACCTCACTAACACTTTGAGCTCTTAAGCTTTTTAGCTCACCCCAACAACGCATAATTTATTACAAGTGGTAGAGTGATCAAACCAAACATTTGTAGGCCCGGGCCTACAGGTCTATGGGCTGGCTACGCCCCTGCTACAGGTCAAGATGAAGTAATGAATATATGAAATTCATATATTCATCCTTTCACTAAGGATAAAGTTAGCCGAAAAATGTTTCTCGATTCTAGTGAAAACCTGTTGCCCAAGGGTGCTTGCGTTTCGCCAAGTTTTGTAAGGAAATGTAGGAACAGTTCGCTCGCCCAAGGGTGGCTCAGGTAGAGGACTGACTGGAACCTACGTTTGATAAGCAAAACCACAACTCTGGCCGTGAATCACATTTTTTGATACATTCCCATTTGTCAAATGTAGGCGAACTCTATCGGAGTCGATTTCCAAAAAATCAGATTAAATTTCAGAAAGAGAAAAGTGTTGTAATTTGATTGTGTGTTTGTTTCCTTATTTAGAGTCGTCATCAGACAGCTTATATCGAAGAAGAAGGAGCACATCCGAATCATCAATAAGTTGCGTACAGAAAATAGTTTGCTTAAGGTATGGCAGGATAATTTTTCCCTCTAGTCAGCTGTCTAGTTGCCCTAGGCTAACACCGGAACTAGTTAAAGAATGACTTGACAACCAACAATTTGACTAACAATACACGACTGTTTAACTGTGACAATAGACGGATGGCAACGCACCAATCACTGATTACGAGTCTTCATAGCCAATAACATCACGGCTTAACTGATAGACGAACAAAAACATCGCGACTTAATTGACCAATCAGGTCAAATAACCAGAGTTTAATACCATCAACTGACGTGATACAACTCACTTTGACTCTGAAGATGACTACCACACAGGTTGTCGAAACGTCAGTCACTGTCAACAACAACAGTCCTATTCAGGACTACGTTCACTGGGACGATCGTGCTCAACCTACTTATGAAATGACCAAAGGGTTCAAACCTTTCAAAGTAAAGTAAGAATCTGCATTTCCCTCCAAGTTAGCCTAAAAAGGTTTTTACATAAATAGTAGAAAGCACAAATTTAGGCCATTCAGGTTCGTAAAAAATTTCTTATTTTCTGAAGAAAAAAGAAATACATTGTAGCTAAGAGTATTAAGTGGTCTTTAGCTTATTCCTTATATAAAATCTGCATACCATCACATTGCAGTGGGCGTGATAAGGCACCTATGTCTCCAAAGAGGACTCCGAATGTTGACTTATCTTATTTGCCCAAGTGTACAGAATTTTTTAAAATAGATTTAGAAAATATGAACCTGCTTCAAATTTTAGGTTAATCAGGTTCTTGTTTAGAGGGGATCGAACTGGTAAATTTTAGCCCAACAGGTTCTTCAAATCCCGGCTCTTACACGCGGGTTTTTGTTGCATCTGCTGATTGGAATCCGGAGTTGGCCTTCCATTACAAAAAAAATTTCACTGGCTACTGCTATTTTATCATAAGATTAAGAGCACTTTTTGGTGATTTTTTTTTTATCGTTGAAGTCTTTATTGGTACTATTGGGTTTACATACCAGTCACCTATTAACAACGTCCATTTTAAGGGGAATACTCTCATATGGACGATCACCCCAGCGCACAAACAACTGATACTACTGGGTTCACAAATCAGCCACCAACAACAGTCTTTTTGAAGACTACACTCACATGGACGATCAAGGGCACGGTTATTAGACCTGGATTCCAAGCTGTATCCTAGCAAAGGCTCTACTGTCAGGGTGATGGTCGATCACACTCGACAAACTAATGATAGCTAGCCCGGAGTTCAACTGAATATTTTTTGCAAGGAAGTCACTTCACTGAGCAAATCTCAGTAACTCTAAAGGTGGCAGGTTTTAGTCTAAAGACATTTCACTCGACAGGGATCGCCGAACACACCTAAAGATAAACATGAGGATTCGTTGCTCGAATCTGAGGATGAACTGGAAAGCGAGGTGCCTGATACGACATCAACACAGGAACTTCAGATGAAATTTGACAAGAATGGAAAAATGGAAGACGAAAAACAAGTTAGTATCCAGATTTCCATGCCATAATTTAAAACGAAAAAATAAGTCTCACCGTAATGGGATGATGTCGTAAGGGCCGCTTATTAGGAGGGTCAACTGTCGGAGTTACGTTGCGAGATAAAGAGAACCGCTGACACTGGCCTGGTTGCCGCGAGTGCAGTTTAGTTTTTTGTTGTATTGTGCAAACTAAATCAGGGTTGTTAATTTATAAAACTAGTGGGACTGATAAATTTTATTAAGAAAGCAAACAACGAAATGATCTCGCGTTCAAATGAACCAATCAGCTTTCACCGCAAGTACACATTGCCGTCGAAAGCGCGGGAAAAAATTCAAACAGTGGGAAGCGTCACCAAATTTGGAATAACTTTGCGATATGGGAACTGATGACGTCAATCGTGCAGCAAAGTTGCCAGATTATTGAACGGTCAATCGAGAAGGTCTGGGGACGAGGTTGACTTGTTTTGGCAGTGAATACAAAACGGCGGAATATTTCACTCGTTTCATGAGTGAAGAATTAGGCGAACTATTGACTAAAAACATAGCAGGACGGCAAGAAGACAACTCGACGGACTGCATCTGCTATTTGGGGAATATTTGCAGAACTGAACAACCCTTTATCAAAGATGAACTTAAAATCGATGGAGGTTAGTATGTTTTCGCTTGTTTTTAAACAAGGAATTATTTTGAATGCATAATAAAACCATTCTTAAAGAAAAAGAAGTAGACAGCCATGACAGCTCCTTTAATACTCAGAAAACCATCCCTCCGTTCCTTTAATAGACTGAATTTTCTGATGAAGAGGAAGATTCTCTATTTGTACAGTTCATGGACGACAACGATAGATTACATAAGGGTCTTAATCTCGCGGAAATTCTTGAATATGACACAAGCGTGAGCGAAAAGGTACGTTACGTATTAAACACAGTAAAGTTGGTTTTACTCTGACTCTAAGAGCAAAAGCCACTTCAAACCACTTTGACACCCTGGGTGCCAGAGACTTTTCATGCACGGTTTCCGTTTTCGGTCAACTCTTTGTAGTGACCCGAGCGAGAAGTTTTGCCGCTCGTGGCTTCGGTCTAAAGGCCGAAGACGTATCGGTCTGCGGCCGACCCCGAAGCATCTCCGCCGAGCTCAATCGCCGCACGCGATACAAAAAACCTTGGTTCCCTTGGTAACACGTAATTTCTCCTGATAGTAACACTGCTAAATCAAGCATAAAGTCCATGAGTAAATGATCAACGAGTTAAAAAGGTCTTAATTACCTACAAATTGGTCAAAGAAATGTCCGCATTTTTATTATCGAAATCATAAGTGCCACTACCAAATAAAGACTTTTTCCTGGCGCTTAAATTCTTGGAGTGGGCATGCGCGACATTAGCAAAACAATTAGACAACGTGGCACTATGGTCACAAAACCCCTCGTTTCCCGCCATTTTAGAATCACTGTTTTCGAGCCAAACTTTTGTGCCACCAAGTATGTGTACGCTTGTCTCATAGCAGAGGTAATCCTCGTCGGAGAATTCCGACAATTTCGGACGGAAGGTTAACGGTAAAGTCATTTTCGGAAACTCCCGCGGAAAATTGAGGAGTGCCTTTTTGAGCCGTCTGTGCATGTTGTTCGTACGCAATAAACGTATATAATCAACAGAAAATGTGAAAATGACCGTATTATAACCCTTACATACTAACGCTCCTCTTCTTGCTAATTAGATATTCATCCCTTTTAATCTGTCTTTCCTCTTAGGAGTAATTTGAGGAACCTGATGGACTGATAATCTTTTTTATTAGAGTTTTTATTACAACGATATGATTGAGGTTTAATAAAGCAGTCTTCTTTCCCATACAAACCATCTTTGTCTTATTTTGGTAAATCATAATGGTAATATAACTAGGACAAAACAAACTTAAACAAAATCACAGACGGAATGGGCCATTTCCTAATCTCCCCAAGCCTTTGTTTGAAAGCGCGACTAAGGGCAAAGCCATTGATATAAAATTGATTGTTTATTCTCATGTAAATAACACTCATTTTCACAAGAAAGATTTTGAACTAAGCCTCGTTTTGAAAGTGAGAGTATTTGGAACTCAGAATGGCTTATTACTTAGCTGTTACAGTTGTCCATGTTATGGAACACATGCAATGTTTCTCCTCTACACTCATATTGCGACGGAATTTATCAACCTGCGAATGAGGCGCAGTCTTCAATTGTCTCCGACCTTCCAATAATTATAATGTTTAAATTAAACTGGAAAAACAAAAATCTTAATATCTCTTGAAAAATGCTTCAAACCAGCCCGAGAAACTCACAAATTGCAACATATACAATAAAAAAGTAAGACATTTCATTTTTATTTCATATTCTGTATTAATTGTGGCAATATAAAGTAGCAATGTTTGTAACATGTTCCATACAAAGTCTTAAATTTTGCCGATCTCATCGTTATGTACAACGTGGACTACGTTTCCTGCAATTTCTACGCTTGCTACACTTGCTACGTTTGCTTTGCTTGCCACACTTACCACGTTTGCAAAGTTTGATTGCTACTTGCTACCGGCGCTTGCTACACTTGTTACTCTTTCTACGCTTTCTTCGATTGCTACACGTATTCTCTGTCAAGATGTATATTTAAAAGTCATGAGCAGGACTAAATCAAACTTGGAAATTTTGTTTTCTAAAAAACAGAGATCGACATACTCTTTAATTTGTTCTGACCAGGCACCAAACAATTACAGAGTTTTTAAATTTCCCTGGTCGTCTTTCTATTTTTTTATTATTTTTTTCAGCCTTTACTTCTTGTATGTAAAAAGTGTCGACAAAACTTGATGGTAAAAACAACGTTGGGAACGCGAATAAGCCTGGGCTATGAAAAATACATACTACGCTTATCAAAAAGACGAGTAAATGTAAAACTACATTTATAAGTGATTTGACCTAGTGAACAGGGAATTTGACTTCAGTATTGGAATGGAGACCAATCTAGACACTAATAAACTTAAACCAATTTGCCAAAAGAAATTTAAACCTACAGCTGTGTAAATAACATAACAGTAAATAACAACAGTGAAACCTCTATTAAGCGGACACCTTCGGGACCTTCCCAAGTGTCCGCTTAATAGAGGTTGTAAAAATTGCGCAGTGTTTGTTAACGATCAACATTCAACGGTTACTCTGTGCTGTGATTAAGTCGTATGTTGCTAAAGAAGCTATCCAGAGGTCAAGTTCATTACCTTTCATTACCAACTTTAATTTGTTTGTAAATGCAAACACATTAACTGACTTCAGTCCCTATTTCAAGGACGTAATCCAATACTACTATTGTCAATTCAGTCCTGCGTCCGCTTAATAGAGGTTTTTAACAATAGAAATTAGCAAAATACACCTTATTTTAGTGTCCGCGTCCGCTTAATAGAGGGGTCCGCTGAATAGGGGTTCGTTATAAGGGGAAATATAAGGCGTTAATTTCGGGACCTGACTTAGTGTCCCTTCAATAGAGGGCGTCCACTTAATTGGGGGTCCGCTTAATAGAGGTTTCACTGCATATTAAATTGCTACTCTAAAGTGCCTCTGTCCCATGTTGTATCAATGAAAATAACCGAAATTGACCATTGATTCCTGACATTTTTTAGGTGACTATAAAACAAGTTTTAAGTGCACACGACTGGTCGCAAAATAAGCTACGAAACCTACACTGTAATTTCCAGACTACGTAAAGCCTCAACTTATTTATTAACAGCATATAATGTTCTCTTCTGGGTAAAGTGTTCCTATTCTTGGGAGGAACGCTCCACCTCGTAATTGTGACACAAATTAGGAACTGACTTCAACTTCAGATAGCTAGGAACTGCTTCACCGCATTCTTCATCATACCTATCCAACAACAACAAAAGCAAAAAGCAACGTTAGCAAGCTAACAAAAGAAAAGGATAGTGATTTCATCTAGGTAGGCATAACATTTTGACAACTGACTTCAAAGAGTGCGCTTGATTGGTCGTATTTCACTTCTATACTGCAATTTTGAACCATTTTAGATATATATAGATCAGAATACTTTATTTCAAGCAGTTTTGTAGATATTGCAATACTAATGAAACACAAAACAAGTGATTTCTAGCGAGTTTATTCCATTTATTTTTGAGACGCGGAATCCGGTGAATCGAACACGCACTAAACCTATTAGAGTAATGGGTCACATTTTTAAAACTGGTAACTTCGACCAATGGTTAGACTCATGGTAGATTTAAAGAAACTTGCATACCATAAATCCTCTGATTGATTGCTCAATCAAATATGGCAGAAATAATTCCTTGTTAAAATTTCCTTTCCTAAAGAACGTAATATGATCCAAGGTTTTAATATATATCCCAAAATACCTTGCTATTTATTGGTTGCCCTCAAACTCGAGCGTTACGTCGTCACCAATGAGAACAAACGGCGCCCAGTACTTCACTGCATTAAAGCGGTCAGATTCTCTCATAGATTTCATGGCGTCATTCAGAGCTTCACTGGCACTTTGTCCATGGACTAGTTGTTTGTAGAAAACTTTCATGAACTCCATAGTAGCTTCGTCGTCGATCGCCCACAAGGACACCAGAACCGAGCGAGCACCAGCACCCAAAAACGCCCGTGCGATGCCGACAACACCCTCAGATTTGACTTCTCCCCAAGCACTATGACAACAACTAAGTACAACAAGTCTTGCCCTAATCTTCGCTTTTAAAACATCTTTCATAGATAAGAGATAGTCCTCCCTGGCTGGATTTACGGATGAACGCGTTGTGTTAGGGGCCAAGGCAATTTCCCCTGTTTCCATTTTACCGTGAGCAGCAATGTGCACCAAAGCAACCGAGGAGATACGTGTTAAGACTTCATCTTTTGTTGCCTGCTTTCCAACGAGAGGTTCAGTTTGAAGTATTTCCCCAATCATCTGCACTTCCTTTTCGGCCCACTGTAACTGCCCCAGCGTCATTCCTTCATAAACTACCTCCTGTACCCACGGATCGCCGACGAGAAGGGCGCCAGTCTTACTGTGCCAATCTGCTGGACAATTTTGGATTAATCGAAGACTGGAAAGTGAAGGAACCAGACGAATTCTGAAAGTTTCACAGAGGTACTTTGATTTCAAGTCCATGAAAGCAGCATAGGGGGCCAAACACAGAGGTCCTTGTGGAACAATCACAACCTCATCGCTATGGAGCAAGTCTCTTATAGGGTCTACAACCACATTGTAAAATGTTTGTAATGACTTAGTCTGAAAATATGAAGGACTAGACTTTGGCTCGCTGGATCTTTCTTCTGCTAACTTTTTATCGCTTGGGTTACTTAATGAGCGATCTTCACAGTTAACATCAGCTCTCACACCTATTTCTTTATGTGTAGTTTCCAACAGAGATTGGAAATCGGTTGTGACGGAGATATCGATCTGGCTTCTTCTAGTTTTGATTTCTTTTCCTTTCTCGTTCACCCAGAGAACTATTCCTCCCTTGATGATACCCATGAATGCTGTATTTGGTGGTAAATAACTAGCAAAGTCACTTGGTCTTGCACAAAGTGTTCCTATTTCTGGGCGTAGCCCCTTAAGGCCATACTTCAACTCCAGAAGATCGTTTAAAGCTTGTGCACGTCCTTGATCAGCAGTTAAAAGTGCCTCAATGACTTTACCTTCCTTAAACTGCAGCTCCCACAGCCTCAAATTAATATGATCATACGTATTTTTAAGGCTAATCTTCCATTCGTCTTTAGATATGAGATTTCCCCTAATGTGGTCGAAGGCTATAACACTGTTCTTATAATACTGAACGGCTTTCTGGAAATCTCCAACACTTTCATAGGCGTTGCCAAGATTACCGTAAGCTCGTCCTTCGCCTGCCCTGTCTCCCACTTCTTTCGAAATTTTGAGGTGTCGTTGGTGGTAGTCTATGGCTTTCTGGAAATCTCCAAGATCAATATAGGCGACGCCAAGATTACCGTACGCTGTTCCTTCTCTTGCCCTGTCTCCCACTTCTGTGCAAATTTTGAGGCTTCGTTCATGGTACTCTATGGCTTTCTGAAAATCTCTAAGATTTTCATAGGCGTTGCCAAGATTGCAGTACGCTCTTCCTTGTCCTGCCCTGTCTCCCACTTCTTTCGAAATTTTGAGGTCTCGTTCATGGTACTCTATGGCTTTCTGGAAATCTCCAAGATCTCTATAGGCGACGCCAAGATTACCGTACGCTGCTCCTTCTCTTGCCCTGTCTCCCACTTTTGTCCAAATTTTGAGGCTTCGTTCATGGTACTCTATGGCTTTCTGGAAATCTCCAAGACTTTCATAGGCGTTGCCAAGATTACAGTACCCTCTACCTTGTTCTGCCCTGTCCCCAACTTCCTTCGAAATTTTGAGGTGTCGTTCATGGTACTCGATGGCTTTCTGGAAATCTCCAAGACAATTATAGGTGGCGCCAAGATTACCGTACGCTCTTCCTTCCCCTGCTCTGTCTCCCACTTCTTTCGAAATTTTGAGGTGTCGCTCTTGGTACCCTATGGCTTTCTGGAAATCTCCAAGACTTTCATAGGCGTTGCCAAGATTACAGTACGCTCTTCTTTGTCCTCCCCTGTCTCCCACTTCTTTCGAAATTTTGAGGTCTCGTTCATGGTACTCCATGGCTTTCTGGAAATCTCCAAGACTGTGATAGGCGTTGCCAAGATTACCGTACGCTCTTCCTTCCCCTGCTCTGTCTCCCACTTCTTTCGAAATTTTGAGGTGTCGCTCTTGGTACCCTATGGCTTTCTGGAAATCTCCAAGACTTTCATAGGCGTTGCCAAGATTACAGTACGCTCTTCCTTGTCCTGCCCTGTCTCCCACTTCTTTCGAAATTTTTAGGTGTCGTTCATGGTACTCTATGGCTTTCCGGAAATCTCCAAGATCTCTATAGGCGACGCCAAGATTGCCGTACGCTGTTCCTTCCCCTGCTCTGTCTCCCACTTCTTTCGAAATTTTGAGGTGTCGCTCATGGTACTCTATGGAGTTCTGGAAATCTCCAAGACTTTCATAGGCGTTGCCAAGATTACAGTACGCTCTTCCTTGTCCTGCCCTGTCTCCCACTTCTTTTGAAATTTTGAGGTCTCGTTCATGGTACTCTATGGCTTTCTGGAAATCTCCAAGATTTTTATAGGCGACGCCAAGATTACCGTTCGCTGTTCCTTCTCTTGCCCTGTCTCCCACTTCTCTCCAAATTTTGAGGTGTCGTTCATGGTACTCTATGGCTTTCTGAAAATCTCCAAGACTGTAATAGGCGTTGCCAAGATTACAGTACGCTCTTCCTTGTCCCGCCCTGTCTCCCACTTCTTTCGAAATTTTGAGGTCTCGTTCATGGTACTCTATGGCTTTTTGGAAATCTCCAAGATCTCTATAGGCGACGCCAAGATTCCCATACGCTGTTCCTTCTCTTGCCCTGTCTCCCACTTCTGTCCAAATTTTGAGGTGTCGTTCATGGTACTCTATGGCTTTGTGGAAATCACCAAGACTTTCATAAGCGTTGCCAAGATTACAGTACGCTCTTCCTTGTCCTGCCCTGTCTCCCACTTCTTTCGAAATTTTGAGGTCTCGTTCATGGTACTCTATGGCTTTTTGGAAATCTCCAAGATCTCTATAGGCGACGCCAAGATTCCCATACGCTGTTCCTTCTCTTGCCCTGTCTCCCACTTCTGTCCAAATTTTGAGGTGTCGTTCATGGTACTCTATGGCTTTGTGGAAATCACCAAGACTTTCATAAGCGTTGCCAAGATTACAGTACGCTCTTCCTTGTCCTGCCCTGTCTCCCACTTCTTTCGAAATTTTGAGGTCTCGTTCATGGTACTCTATGGCTTTCTGGAAATCTCCAAGACTGTGATAGGCGTTGCCAAGATTACAGTACGCTCTTCCCTCCCCTGCTCTGTCTTCCACTTCTTTCGAAATTTTGAGGTCTCGTTCATGGTACTCCATGGCCTTCTGGAAATCTCCAAGACTGTGATAGGCGTTGCCAAGATTACCGTACGCTCTTCCCTCCCCTGCTCTGTCTTCCACTTCTTTCGAAATTTTGAGGTGTCGTTCATGGTACTCTATGGCTTTCTGGAAATCTCCAAGATTTCTATAGGCGACGCCAAGATTACAGTACGCTCCTCCTTCTCCTGCCTTGTCTCCCCCTTCTTTCGAAATTTTAAGGTATCGTTGATGGTACTCTATGGCTTTCCGGAAATCTCCAAGTCTGTAATAGGCGATGCCTAGGGCGTGCTGGAAATCTTTGAAGTTGACATAGGCGTCGCCAATATTATCATCAATACGTGTGGTTGTCATATTTCTTTTTTTTTGCTGGCTTTGCTATTTCAGCTCGTCCGACAAAGGGTATACATATTGTGGTTTCTTTTCTCTTCTGATACCATTTGTCTTTATGTACTATAACGAAGAGGATCTGAAAAGTACAATTAAAAGCTAGAGTAAAAGCTTATTTATTAGCTCCTTTACTATTGGTTTTTGTCTATCACAGTCGCATTTGATTTGCCTCAAAAAGGAAGCCTTCTGCGTGTTTTTCATCGTTGTATAATATGACTTGATGGACTGGAACCGCCGCCCGGTTAGCTTAATGGGATAAGCGCCGGTCTGCTGAGCGACTAGCCCGTAGGTTCAAACCCCGGCCTGACCAACACTCAGGGTCTTTAAATAACTGAGGAGAAGGTGTAATAGCATCTGCAAAAGGTTAGACTTTCTAGTCTTCTCGGATAAGGACGATAAACTGTAGGCCCCGTCTCACAAGCCCTTGCACGTGTAATAAATCTGTGGGACGTTAAAGAACCCACACACTCTTCGTAACGTGTAGGGCACGTAGTGCCCGGTGTAGTGGTCTATCTCACTTTCACACGCATGTATGTAAACTGCACCTTAAGCAGTCTGGCAAAGTCCCCCAACCAGTGTTGTAAATTATCCCTGAAAAGCCTTGAGGGGAGTAGATAATAAGATATTTACAATTTACAATTCACTGGGGTCTTCTCTAAAACAGGAAAATATTAACATTCGTTTTAGTGATAATGACCGAAATTAAAAAAAAGAAAAAGAAAAGAAACAGATTTACCATTGTTGCTCCCGCAGGGATTTCGCCCAGAAGGCGAAATCCCGAGGAGGCACTCTAGTAACTTGCGCGTATATTAAGAAAAGTACTTACACTTGAAATATACAGTCAGTATGCCAGAAAAAATCTATCTCGATTTGCTTGAACAGGGGCCGCGAGGAATCGGTAGATAATGATGACGTTTCTTTTGTTTCTGCTTGCAAGAACGAAATGGTTAGGATGACTTAAAGACAGAAAATCCTGAATGGACCGCTCAGGTAGATTTTGTGACATTTATAGCGACAGTCATTCTTCGATACTCTTTTGCGTTACGTGTTATCAGTGACATTCTATGGAGCAGTTGTTTTTGAAAGTTATGGACCAAAAGACACTCGTTAAGCGCAGATGAAGTTATAAGGAGCGTATAACTGTGTATATATAAACACTTGGAGAGTTTGTCAGACACGAGTTCACAAATCTTTGGTTGGAAATCTTGCCAGACACTCTTTCTCTCTCTTTGACCGGAATAAGACTCAGCCCCAAACCAGCAAGACGAGTGAACAACGGTTAGCTTATCACTAGCAGAACGATGGGCGATTACAGAAATTCGTCGACAATCAAATTCTGTGCTGACTTATTCCCTAGAATGCGCGAGCGTGAATTGATCAAACGTCCTTTTAATTTCTAAGGCTTACTTTCCGGCAAATAAAATGAACTAAATGTAAAAAGTGAAAGAGAAATATGGAAAAATTCAACTTCTAATTAAATCTTTTCTTATGGTTCAGAATAAACTATTCTCGAAACTGAGAATGTTTTGATCAAAGCTGTGTAAATCGAACTGAAACTTTGCATGGAACCTTGCGTTTCCTGTATTTATCTCACCTATTGTATGGAATATGTGTGAAAATCTTCAGTATGAATCGATATATTTCAAAGAGCTACACAACGAGCAAGAATACTGTAACCGACAATATACATAGCGGGGGCAGCTGAAGTGTCGACTATTACTAGTTTAAACATGGTGTATATAAATTATCTATCTACTGATTGTACATTTATCTACCTTCTACTGAAACTACTAAAGCTGTTGCCAACAAACTACACACCGGGCCAGCGGAAACATGGCAGAAAACTCAAATTTCGGAAATTGAACTTATTTCTAAGGGTTGACATCTCTGCGTAGCGGAATACAAGTGCTTAGCAATTGAAAAGAAAGCCTATTTTTCTACCGCCGAAACACTGAGAAAGTAGTCGCCGTAAAGTGGTTATAGGTTTGTGTGCAACGTATTGTAGTATCACCCGGAGTAGTCAATCGATAAAAATCGGTAAATCTGATTTGATTGATATCGATTGTATTGATCAATCGGTAGAAATCAATGACGCACTCGTTTCGCTTAACTATTTTGCTTGTTTTTCCCGATTTCATCGATTTATATCGGAAGATATATCTGTTTATCCAAAAATGAAAACTAATTTCATGCAAACAGTAAATTTGTTGACAACTGAGTTGCAATTGAGAGTCAAAGGATCAAACAATTATCAGGTTTTCAAAAAAATATTTTGAAAACAATCAGAAAAAGTCTTTTCTTTTCTTCAAAACCAGGTTTAAAATCTTTTTCTGGTTATTAGGTATCCAGGTTTTCATGATTTAGACCTGCCGCCCTTTCACAATAACGTCGGTGTACTTCCGGGTGTAGTTAGATCCCGGAGTAGCCAATGGATAAAAATCAAAAACGATAAAAATAGTCAGCAATCAAGTGATTTTTATCGATTTATAACGGAAACGGTGAGAATCTATCTAGGGAAATCTTTGAATGAATTTCAGACATCCCTTCAACTCGCGGGAATGTCTGAAATTTAGGCTAGGAAATCTTTACTAAGGTTGTATTTCTCGTGATACTTGCCTGCGAGAACTGAGTGTAATTATAAAACCGAACCGTTTTTGTTATTATGTGCAAAACGAAGAGTTTTAGAGAGAAACTTTTGTGCGCAACAGTTTCTACATTTCAGTTTTTTTCATGTTTGTTGATCGTTGTTACTCGTGGATGCTAACTTATGACAAAAAACAAGAATGGCGGACTTCCGTTATATATCGTTAAAATCATGAAAAATCGATAATATCGATTTGACACAGCAATTTAGATTATCGATTTTCACCGATTTCCGTTATCAAACGATAAAAATCACTTGATTGCTACCGATTTTTATCGATTGACTACTCCGAGAGTATACCACACATGTAAGTATATAGAGTGTCTTTGTGTCACTGGGGCAGGCCGATGACTAACACTGTGCAATTTGTCTTACAAAATTCTGGAAAAACTGCAGAATTATAGGTTTAAATAGGGCAAAAAGAACAAATTCTGTCCCAGGTATGTATGATAAAAAGCAGCGCCTCATAGTACTGTTTACCTCAGACGTGATGAAGAAAGTGTATTTAAAAGGCTGGTTTACACGCCACCAGATTTCTCGCCAAGATTTACTTGTAAAGTAAACTTGTCGAACACAAAAAATCCAGCCTTACTTTTTTTACTTTGGCCTCTCTTTTAGACAGAGGAATGCAACGTGTAAGTTGGCTGCCACCGAGGACTATTTAATAATTATATTTCGGGGCTGTCCATTTCTTTCCAACGGAGTGGTTGGAGAGACTATGAATTAACCTTATAAAATAAGGTGGTGGGCGACTGGGTTATTTTGTTTGGGAAGAATTTGTTTTCCAGGCCTAATCTACTGTGATCGAACATGATTGTTATTTTTTGGTGTACATATCAGGCTATTAACTCGGTGTAAAATTTGTTTCGCTCTTAAACTGTCCAATTATTTTTCTCTAAAATCACTTAGCCTTTGCCTCAAAAGTCGTATGAATGTGCCCTAAAGTTAACCGATTTGTGGATTAGAAGTTTATTGTTTGATTTAAATTATAATTATGAATTTATGAACGGGAGCTTCGCTTTTAACCCTGGCTAAATCCATTGCGTACCTCTGTTCTAAATTCCCGAGTAATCTTGATAGTTCGCAAGAGGGTACAGCAGACGGTCCTTGATTCGTGAGGAAGAAAGGGTCTACGAGGAAATAATAGATGTAGATTAAAAACCAAATGCATCTCTCAGGTAAATTGTAGTGTAACTTGAGCTAATACAATGCCTACCTTGGTTATAAATTGCCGAGTCGTTTTGATATATTAGTAGCTCGCTTGATTTGTCACGACGAAATAGTCGACGAAGAAATCATATTTTGCAAAACAAGTTTATATATAAAGTCAATTGAACATTCCTTCACAAAAAACAGGACCTGCACAAAACTAACCTGGGCGACAATCAAACCTTTTACCAACTGAATGTTGAATCTTGCATGAGGGATTTTTCCCTTCATTTAGCTTTCAGTTTCAATTTCATGAACTTACGTCAACGAAATTGACGTAAAAGGAGGGGTGATATTAAATCTGATATACAGTTATCAACATTTCTCTGCACAAAATGATAAAGAGCTTTAAAAAATGTCTTACAACAGGTTCTGTCGACTGATGGAACCTTCCGCAGATGAAGTTGGTCTGATACTTCCTGTTTTTTCTCCGAAACTTGCTGGAAAGATATGCCTTGTGGACAGTCTTGTGATTGACCTTCTGACGAGGCTCACATTATACTAAGTAGATTCGATATAGTTCGTTTTCACTGTCACGCAACAAAAAAATAAATTGGAAACCGTCCAGTGGAAGAAGCCAAGAAAATGAAATGTTATAAAAGACTAGTATATAAGCAATTTGTCTCAGGTCAGTTTCAGGTCTTTGTGGCCCACAAAGACCTGAGTTATTAGCCGAAACGTTTCACGCACCTTTGTAGAGCTTTGTATGCATGAAGACGTGCGGATAAACATATCTTCTAATACCGTATTTATTGGATTAACCGCCCTGGGCGCTTATTAAATTTTTGGACCTTGAGAATGGGCGCTTATTCAAGGTGGGCGCTTATGAGAGGCTGGGCGCTTATTAAATTTTCACCATTTTCAACAAGTGTAGTATGTATATTTTGCAAGAAAACAGTAAATGGTAATAGCAAAACGCGAAGATGTAACAAAGCAAGCCGTTTGTTCAAAACACTCTGAAGAAAACTCCGTCTTCGGGGAAGTCTCAAATTAGTACTTATTCCTTTTTTGGGTGGTAGCGGGAAGGGAGTGGGCGCTTATTTGA